ATGCCAGACCCTAAACCATAAAAAAGTTTCCCAAAGTTGCAGTAACATGGGTTCCAACAGCCTTTAAATGAAGAAGATGATACCAAAGTTCCCAGTCTCAAGCATGGTCTTTCATGTCAAACATGTTCAGACAGCACACTCCAAAAACTGAGCTCTTCGGATTACCCATCTTAAGAGGATATACCTTGATATAAAAGAAAATTCAGATATATATTCAAATTATAAAATTTAAGAGAGTAAGAGAGTTTCCACTTGGAAAGGAAAAAAAAAACCCAAAAAAAAACCGGTTGCTGGAGTCTTTACCTGCAGTAAGATATCAAAGTATGTAACCCTTTTCTTCTCCAGCACTTCATCTTATTAAGCCTTGGCCTTAGAAAACTAAGCTAATGTAGTCACACTGTGTATACCTCACACCACCTACTAAATTCAATTCAGTATTGACAAAGGCTGATGGCTCCCCAAGCCCAAGTTCCACAAAGCATCTACAAGCTTTTAGTAGAGACTGCAGCTGCACAGACAAAACATACCCTGTAAGTACTGTAATGTAGTGAAAGGCAGCACCACCATTCACATCTTAAGCATGAGAACATCCAGTGTCTTTAACAGTGAAGCATTGGAAAGTGTTCGACTCCAGAAGCACTAAGGGAATATTTCTACAGTTTAAGGCGGCAGCTAGAAGAATTTCCTGTTGAACTAAGGAATAAGACTGGTGAAGCTTGCTGCTGTTTCCAGCTCTTCACTCCCTGGTAAATTGATACTCATGTGTAATCTCCTATCAGGAAAGAGTGAGATGATGTTCTAGCAGCATTCTCGCAGAAGGACCAGTAGCCTTATTTCAGTAGCCTATAATTAATTACTGAAATACATTAAGCTTTTCAGCTCCTGCAAGAAGAAGCCATAGGGGGTACAGAGTTTGACCGGTAATATTATAGAAACAGCTAATGTAATTCCTGCTTTGCTGAGAAGCATTTACCATAACCCAGGACGCACCAGCATGCGGCCAGCATGAGTTTCTTCTTATCTGTCACGTGTAAATACCTTCGAGTGCCTTCGAGTGGTCTACAAAAATCAGTATTTCACTTCTGAAGTCAGCCAGCTATCAAAAGCATGCGAAGAAGGCAAACAATAAAGTATAACTACGGACCATTTTAACCCAGGAGTGCCATTCCGCGGAGTCGTCAACACGTGGAACAGCCAGATATTTAAGAATTTCCCTCGGGAACGGAGCTGCACCGAGAAGGCTGCGCCGCAAACGCGGCAAGCCTAAAGCAAGCAGCAGCCGACTCTCGCCACTGCCTAGGCGACACTTGGGGACAGCCGCCGCCCCGAGAGCAGCCCGGAGCCCACAGCCGACCGCCCCCTACGGACACTTCCCGCTCGCGGGCACTCACCTCATCCAGGAACTTGGTGACGTCGTAGATGCGGTTGTGCACGATGATCCAGGTGCTCTGGCTGTTGTTATGCTTCTGCACCTCCTCCAGCCGATAGTAGCGGCCCCGCCACGCCTCACCGCCGGCTTCGCTGGAGCCCACCATGTCACCACCCGACAGACAGTACACCGCCGCGACTCACCACAGCCCCGCTCTCACGCGCGGATACCAAATACAGCCCCGCCAACAGCCTATCACCGCCCGCCTCCCCCCTCCACTTCTTGCTCTCTCATTGGCGAAAGGGTATGACATTCAAAGAAGTCATCACGCTACCGGCCGGGGATTGGCGGATCCCATGTACTGGGCGGGGCTAACGATGTCGCCACAGATGTGGGGTGCGCGCTCCAGGTCTCCTCCTCCCTGGGCGCGATCGGCGCTCTCCGCGTGACTCGGTCACGTGCGCCGCCCCCCCTCAGTCAGCCAGAGGCGTGCGGACTCCAGCCCGCTTATCTTCCCCTCAGGCCGCGCTCCGCTGTGGCTGCTCGGGCGGGAGGCGCTGTTGGCGCCGCGCTGTGGCCGTGAGGTGGAGCGCTTCACGGGACCGCAGGTGCGCCCTCACGGCCTTCCTTAGCACCTCCCCACCGTTCTGAGGGGTCAGGAGCTGTTCCCTCGCCTTCTCTCGGCTTCGATCTTCCACACACAGTTGCCCTGTTTTCCTTCAGTTTTATTTGAGGTAAAACCCAGCTCCAGAGCAGCTGTATGTCAACTCCTTCAGGTCAGCAGCGTCCTGATTCACTGCTTCCAGTGTGGTTTTAGGTGGTCTTTTTTTTTTTTTTTTTGTTTGGTTGCTCATTTTTTTGGGGGGAGGAGGGATTGCTTGTTTGTTTCTAACATAACTTAAGTGACATAACGCTTACAGGGCATGATTCAGGTGCTACCTCCAGTGTATGACAGCAAGCCCAATGGCCACGAGTCCCTGCAGCCCCTCACAGCTTTGTGTAGCTTTCAGTAGTAATGAGGAAGGCCCTCCTTCCCTGGGTACCATTGCCCAGGCTGGTATGAAAACAAGAAATACTGCTCACCAATTCTGTGATTGCCTGTTTTGAATGAAGAACAGTGACAGCCATTCTCTGACTGAAGGCCACCTTAGCATGAGTTGTGTTGATTTTAAGATGGTGTGTTACAATCACTGCATCTACAGGTGTAATTCCTCCTGCACAGTCAAGATCTACTGATAAAGAAGGCACTTGGGTTTGTTTTATGCAATTCCTGATTAGCAAATCTCTGTCTCTGGGCACTTCTCTCTTTTTGCTCTCCCCTGAGGGAACAAACCATCTACCAGCACTCTGCCCCATTAGCTTTTTATGATCATTGGGAAGAACACAACAAGTGGCTCCCCCAAGAGAGTTGTCCTCTGCCAGCAAGCAAAGCCCAGGAACACTGCAAAGTGCTTTACATTCTGTGATCTTTATCACAGAAATCCCCAGTTTGACCATTTGAAAGACTTTTAAAGTTCAATGAAAGCAGAGGACCCAGCCTTTCTTTTCTGTGTTCACAATCTGATAAGATGATTTTTCTCTTCGTTTGTTTGAAATGGCGCTTTGTCTTAAAGGCAATCATAGGTTTTTGAAGTATCTGATGAAGTTTCATGTCACTTTTCATGATTGCAAGAAGAAACTTAAGATGCTTTAAGGATAAGAAACAAGGAAACACCATTTTCTCAAAAACTGTCTCAAAACGCCAATCTTGGGATTTTTCTACAATTTGAGATAAAGGTTTTTAGTGTTTCACAGTAAGTAATGCAAAGCAAAAAAATTAGAACAGCAAAACTGTCAGAACTAGCAAAAACTGTTGAAATAGTTCCTCAAAAAGTTTATCCAGTCTATCATATTTATTGATCTAAACAATATCATACATTCACTGCAGGGGAGTTGGACCAGATGGCCCTTAGAGGTCCTTTCCAACTCTAAGGATTCAAGGATCCTATGATTTACACGATCTGCCTTTCAGATATCTAATGACTTCATAACATTTGGACAACAAAACTGCTTTCTATTTATTGATAACTTCACCACTTTGGTAAGGCCATTTCCAAAAAGGGCTTTTTTGATTTGGAGATGAGTAGGAGAAACATTAAAACAGCTGCTTTTGGTATGTAGCACTGGTGGCTCCCCTTGGATACAAAGTAGATTTTCAGCCTGCTTTTTTTCCCTCTGTGGAGCACTTTGAGATCTACGCTGTAGTAAAGGGCTGTATTTTCTTTGAATAATGAAATTTTACATGTACATTTTGTCATAAACATTCTGTTTCCTTTGTATTGCACCTGGACTGTGCTGCAGCACGTAGATTCATACAGTAGGCACCTAACAGAAAACCAGGTAGCAACTGTAACTATGTTATTCACACTCTCGAAATTTGTTAGCATTGGTCTTTCTTACCAACAATGCATTTTGAGGAGCAAGTTCAGGGAAAGGAAGAAATTCCTGTCTCTGCTCAGTGTATAGTCCTGAAATAGTTATTGCTATTTGAATTGTGCAAAGCATTACAGAATGATAACAGTTTACACTGACTGCTCTCTCCGCCCATTTGTGGGAGAAATAGCAAGAAGGAATAGTAGGATCTTGTCCTTTGTCTGAACTTCTGGCTATTTTGGTTCTTCTTTTCAATGCTTTTTTAGAAAAATTCCAAAAATTATGGAGTTGCAGCAGGCCTGGTCTGTGTTACAGCAATCAGCATACACATGCTCTGCATTCTAACTCTCTAAAATATCCAGTCACATGTAATTCAAGATAATATTGTGGCCTGAGCCCCAAACTGCCTCCCCCAAACCGCCTCATGCTCTTGCCCACAAAATGTAGTCAATTTCTATTTTAAGGCAAAGCTTAGGTTGTGAGATATAGCTTCATTAGAACCACTATATGTCAAATCACCTTCCACTCCAAAGAACAAGTCTGTTCTCTTTTTACAGCTGTGTCAGAATGTAACTAAGATACCCACAACTAAGATACCCACTGAGACAAAAATGCTGCTTTGCATACCTTCTTTGAGTATGAGAATAGGAAAACAACATGCTTAATGTGATTTTGAATCAGTAGAGATTGCAGTATTGCGTAAGAAAATACTGCCTTTCACATAGGCAAGGATACAGCACTGACCTGTCACCTGACGAGTGGTGGATTTAAGCAGGGAGTGCACAAGTCTCCTGCAGCACTAGGAGGGGTCCTTGTATGACTTGGTGAGGGTGTCTCTCTCTGCTGAGCTCCTGGCACTTTAATTTTCTTGCCAGCCAGTAGGGGACAAACTTCACCGAAGAATTCCTCAGCACTTGGATCCCAGATAGATTCCAGCCTAAACATAAACTCACAACGTGTAAGGGATATTTTCACCCTTGTTTAGTCTTAATATTCTGGTTCTTAAAAGAAAATAAAGTATAACACATTTATTTTAAAAAAGTATGTTGTGCTGCCTGCTTCTGTTCACCATATACGTATATTACCTATCTAATCTTGTCAGAAGACAATTAACTGATTAGTGGTTTATCTGATATCACATCCTTCCAAAGTTCTGTAAATACCTACCTTTAAAGAATGCAATTCATTCCTGTAAGATCCAGGTTCTGTTTCAGTGAAATCAGCGGTAGAACATGAATGACAGAAGGCATCAGTCTCTATTCTTTGCCAGTCTGCCAGATCTGCAGAAACTCTGTGCTGCTACAATAACACTGAGCCCCCAGTTACCAGAAAGTGAGATGAGGAGCACTCAGATAAAAGTCTGCAGGTAATTAATTATGAGTTATTTTCAGAAGCTACTGGTGTTTGCTATTCAGCAATGTTATTAGTGCAACTAGAATTAGCTGTAATAAGATCAGCACAATTCTTATTAGCAGTAAACACTATGACATTTTTTCAAAGTGATTTATGGTTTTTGATGGGTGATGTGCTGGCTTTGGAGAAAAAATATACTACTGTGTTTTTAAATGCCATCAGTTAAAACTTACAGAACAACTTACTTGAAACTGATGAATGTGTGAAGTTACTCTGTAAACATACAAACTTGGAATGCTTTAGGTACATCTTTTGAGATACTGTAATGCTTTTTGTAGGTTGAGACAATGAACAGGATACTCAGAAAGAACGTGCACATTCCTTGCATTCAGAAAGTGTTATTCCATTCCCTGTAAAGGGAAGAAATGAGAAATTCTGCCAGATAGAATACTTTGAGGCAGATCTGTTAATTTCCCTAAGGCCTGTGATCTGTGCCTTAGACCTCTGTGGGTGGGTGGGTTGGTTAAGAATAAGTAAATTGGGTTTGACACATTACACTGAGCCACTGGAAACTGATTAAAAAAAAAATCAGAATCAATGTATTATCTTTTTAATAGTAAGACAAAATAAACTAAAAGTGGGAGTTTATTTTTAAAGTTTTCCTATTTTTTTAAATCTACAGACAGCTAATATTCCTGTATCAAGACGTCCTTTCTGCACCTGTTATTGGAACATTAAATCAAATTTCAGTTGTCATGGCGGTCAGTAACCACTAATAAATAAGGATATGTAGTTTCATATAACCACACATCTTCACAAAGGACTCTGAGCACCAAGAATAAGTTATTCTTGTAATTTCAATCACACTTGTACTATGCATTAGTAATGTTGATGAGTGCTTAGGTCTTTTTCTTTTGATGAAATTATCTTCTCAAGGAGTGAACCTCTTGTGGAACAGAATTGACTTGGTAAGATGCCACAAAGAACAGCAGAGCCAGGTTCTGCCACTTTGTTTTGGGCAGTCTATTGCTCACTTGGCAATGCATCTTCACCAAGAAATGAGATTGTTGCATGGCAAACACCTAAATATAGTTTTGCTGTTACTCCCCTTGAAAGCATAGAACGTGCTATTTTCTTTAAGTACTCCTCAGTATTCTTTTTCTAAGTCAGCAATACCAATGGTCAAGATGTAAGGTTTGATAAAATTCTCTTCAATTTCAGACACTTGAATTTTCTTTTTAGATACCATTCTACAAATCAGGATTATGTGAAGCATATGTAGAAAGACAAGGAGCTACTGTAAGTGCTGGAAGACATCTCACTTCTTCAGACAGTTACATCTGTCTGTGACTGCTGTTGACAAAGACAAGTATTTTTCACAGGGCAAGCAATTTGCTCTACAGAAGAGAAAGTTCGAAGTTTTAAGCCCATTCTGTTGTCAAAATGTATCTCATTAATCTGAGTATAATAAGTATACTCAATCAGCCAAAAACCTTAAGAACCTCCCTAAGCAATTTCACTAGATTCCTCTGCTGTAGTGGGGTCCTAATCCTGTTCAAAAGCATTAACATTTAACCTTGAGGCAAAGACAGACTGAAGAGTCCTTCTGGTGGTGTGAAGCTACCCACATGTCCTGTAGGTTCTGTTGATGAGGTGTTAGAGAGCTGAATATTTCCCCACTCATGTTTTGTTCTCCCAGGCCCACATAGGATTGGGTGTCTCAGAAACAAAAGTGAAGCATAGAAAAGAGACAGAACCCAGAAGCATAACAGCAGTTCCTGTTTCAGGCCATTCTGCATATGCTTTTCTATCTTTTAGTATGCACTATTTGTGGGTTTTATAGATGTGTGGAGGTACTGAAATTGCTAACTCACAAAAACTAATTGCAGTCAAAGTGCTGGCACAGTTGTAGGTATTATTATATACCAGTTGTAGGTATTGCTTTCATGCAGCTATACAGTAGAGTCAAACAAACAAGTAGTACTGTACACGAGCAAAGCTCCGTGCATGTTGCTTCAGCCATTGCAAGAAGTCTGGAATTTCACACAAACTTAATATACCTAAGTTTTGGAAGCTGTGGCTTTTGTATGAAGATATGTAATAGATAGCTCCATTGTGGAAAAAAACCATAGTGAATGGAGTTATAATCCCTATGAAAACATCAAATGAATTGTAGCGCACCATACTCCAACAAACCACAAAATCTAGATGTTTATATCAAATACTATGCTAATTTGTAGCTATGTAGATGAAAAGAGGTGTAACTTACACTCAGATTTGACTTAAAAGTAACAGTATCTTTGCTAAGATTCTGATATAAATCTTTACAAAAGATACATTAAGTATTTTTTTTCCTCTTTTCTCATTGATGGTTTTTAGCTGGCAGCACCACAAAAAGTTAATCCAGCCATCCTCCAAAACTGTCTCTCCTACACACTTACAGCCAGACTTACACCTAGGTGGAACAAGGCTGGTCATCTCCTGGTGCAAGGTATTCCACACACTCAGATTAAGAATCAAGCGTTTGTTTTTTTTATTATTGCAGTTACTTTCCTTACTTTAACTACTATATTATTTCCATATGTCTTTTCTTTAGTTACATTTTCATTGCTTATTTACTCCTTTATTTAAGTTTTAAACCTAAAAAAAACCAACATCTTTTTTATCTTTTCCTCTTTATAATGGACTAAGTTATTTTAACTGAGTGTAACATAGAGAATTAATCATTTCCAAATCAGATATTACCACATAGCTGTGCTGCTCACAAAGAAATGAGATCATACAGGCTCTCAGCTATACTAAGCAAAGCATTTGCACTGCTCACAGATTCCCAGCTATACTAAGCAAAGCATTATGCAGGTTGGCCAATAAACACATACAGGAGAAAAAAGAAGTCAAACTCACCCAGGCAGGGAAAAGACTCTCCAAATACACAGCACTCCTTCCCAGAAAGTAGCCTAAACCCAAGAGATGCTCTACCTTCTATGGCTGGCCCTTATATGAGCCCAGCATGACTCCATGCTGGGTCCACCCCTTCTGATCATGTGGGGAGCACAGATGCAAACAATTTGTGCTCCTTGGATCAGCCATACCCCTTCACCAGGTGCTCAATCACCAATTCAGGCTGTGACCTAACAGCCCCCCTACAACAGTAAATGTCTTCTAAGAACATCATCTGTTTTTCAGATTTGTGCTTTCATCAATGGAACTGCTAGGCTTGACTATGTTTTTCTAGTACAGAAGCATTTTTCTATCATCTACCTCTGTATGGGAACTGCTGAATCACGGCCTGAACCTCTGATTGATCACCTGAGGCGAGCAATGAGTCAGCCATGGGAGCACAGGTGAAGGCAATTCAGCTGTGCTGCCAGAAGATGTGGAGCCTGGCTCACCTCTCCTAGACCCATATAGGAGTTGACCCCTAGTGAGGGAGGACCCCCCTTTGAGAGGTCCCTGTTTTGGAGTTTCATAGTGAGCCCAGGATATGGGTATGCATCCTCTCTATTCTGTTTTGGCTTTGTAACTGCATACCTAAACTCTTTGGTACATTTCATGACTGTTACATCTGTGTGTTTGTTGATTATAGAATCTCCTACTCATTTTTTGTTCTTCTGGATAGAAGTTCTGTTGCCTGACATCTCTATATTATGCATTAAGATTTCAAATTACTGAAATATGAAAAAATAGGTGTTTCAGATGCTATGGTGTTTTCCTACTAAGTAAAGCTGTTGTGTAGATCATTCAAAATATACAATGAGAAAAGGGCTATGTGCTGTTATTTCTAGCCACAGTATTAGCAGTATCTTTCTTTTCAGTGTCTTCAAGGCATACACGTCTGTGAAATCAGCTTATTCAGTAATAACAAGTAGAAGGCTAGGTAGTAGCTCATATAAAATGCAGCTTCAGTGAAACTTTAGCAAACAATGGGCATGCTCCTGGTGCATGCAGCTTGCTTAATCATGTGTGCATTGCTAAGTCTGGCAAAGTTTGTGGTAGGTGTTAAAACGTATGGTAGTACTATACAGCTTTGATTTTGAATTTAAGGAATTCATGGACCTTTTAGTCAATTAGAAATATTTCTATGTGTAAGTTCCTTCTCAGAAGAAAAAGAAATCTGTGAATTTTTATCCATTAATATACTTTTGTCTAGCTTGCTTTTTGTTTAAGATGCTAATAGTTTAGAAAATAATATTTATTTATTTTGCATTATTAAGGAAGAGATTTTTTGTCTCAAACAGGAAAGCAGAATGCAGTTGGTAAGTACAGCTTTCTGTTAGGAGTAACCTTGTGTAAGTGAATAAGGTGTAGTTATGTCAACTTAAGGTTGAAATGATGCCTCTATCTTATTACAGCATAATATTTTTTCATTCTGAAGTAATCTCAGACAAAACAGCCTTGATGGCAGACTGTTTTTTTTCTATGTAATTGTTGTCAATTTGTCTGAACCCTTGTAAGATTACACACAGATAAGTAGTTTTTTTTCTACTATTAATCTATAGCTATAGGTTAAAACCTATCATTAAAATATTATGGTTATTACAATTTAAATGCACTGGCCTAAAATTACAGCGTGGAAGCCTAATCATAATAATAGATAGGAAAAGGAACAAAACTGACTGTTTGCAGTTTGCAAAATTAAAGCATGCTGCTTAACTATTGCAGGAAATACAAAACTAAATTTATTTTTAAAACTCTGGTATAAAAATGAAAGATTACATTTTGGGGTATTGAATCCAATTTACAACAGATGAATATTTTGGCATCCAATTTGCAGCAAGAATATATATTTGGAAGTGTAATGCATTCAGACTCTGCACCACAGGTGGGTGAATGTTTCAGAGGAAAGTCAGTAAGTGCTTGCCCTGGTCAAACGTATAGTTTCGAGCTCCCAGTTGCATGGATGGCCCTGAGTTCACAGGGGGATGTATAGATTGCAGTTAGTTGTTGGGTTTATTTTCATTCTTAAAATGCAATTTTTATTTCCATGCTGAGATCTGTTTTTTAAACTCAGTACTTTAACCAGCAATGGCTGTAAAAAATCATTTGCTTCAGCAGCTTAACAGTTGAGTTGTGGTTTGGAACAGGACTTTGGACTTTCAGTTTTATTTTAGTTCTAGACATCAATGTATCAGAGAAGCAGCTTTGCATCAGTGTGGAGGCTTGCTCAGTCCGATTACCACCCCCTGAGGTATTACACAGTTCTATTTTCTATGGCTGTATTTATCTTACTACTCTTTATCTTCATTTCTGCTAGGTGACTTACAATTAGCATGATGGGGATAGAATGGCTTATTTCTGATGTATTAAGAAGTAATCACTTTGACTAACTATACAATCATTAAGTGTGTAACACCCGTGTTTTTTTTATATTGAGGCATTCCAGCACGCATTCCAAGTATCTTTGTCATACAGATTCTAGACTACTTTCTAAATTTCCTTCTAACAGTCTTTTCTAAAAGCAAGTCACAATCTCACTGTAATAAATAACCAGTTTTGAGTAACATATTAGAAGTGAAGCTGCAGGTAATATGTCAGCACTATGTATAAGGTAAATGGATGTGTTTTTTCTGGAATTTGTTGTGTTTTCTATGCAGCTTCCAAAACGCAGGAGCAGCCTGTTGTGCATCTTTGTAAATGGCTTAAGAAGTAATGGCTGAGGCTAAAAATTGGCCATGTCAGTACATCCACACATACAGAGGCATATTTGTTAGATTTTCTGATTTTTTTTTTTTTCCAAAATAAGTATTTTGGATCCAAAGTATTCTTTTAAAGAACAGAAAAAATAAGATTTCTTTTGTGACCTAATTGGACAGCATGAATATTAAAGCTGTCCTTACGTCATTTTGGAATTGGATTAATGGAAGGGATCGTGGTGTGGCTTCATTGTCTGTTTGACTATTTGAATACTTTTCTAAAACAGAAATTGACTGATTTTCTTATCATTTAAGAAATGCAAACCATGCTAGAGCATAGAATGAGAAAATGTTTTTTAAATCTGTGTTAGGTTGGCCCCAACAACCAAATTTTTCCTTTGTGAGAATGTGTTCTAATTCTGTTGCTGGGATCTTGGCACTTCATAGAATCGTAAAATGGCCTGGTTTGAGAAGGACCACAATGGTCATTTAGTTTCAACTCCCCTGCTATGTGCAGGGTCACCAGCCAACAGACCAGGCTGCCCAGAGTCACATCCAGCCTGGCCTTGAATGCCTCCAGGGATGGGGCGTCCACAACCTCAAATCACTTGATCATGCAGAGTGGCTTCTGAAGTTCCTAGGCAGTCGAACATGTTTTTTAAAATTAAACTCAGAAACTCTGCATGAAAGTGAGACAGTTCTTAGTTTGTTTTGTATTCTTATTAACACAATATTTAAATTTCACTGATTTCACTTATTTCATAAAGAGTCTGTGAGAGATGAATGAATAATGTATGAATTTCATTATATTGTGATATACAATTAGTGTTTATATTTAAATTTTGTACTACTATAGAGATATTTGCAAATAACTTTTTTCTATTTTAAGCTGGAAGATTTTGATATTTCGGCCAACGCCATAAAGCTGTTTGAAAGCAATGAAAACACAGTTATTGATGGTCATTCCATATTAACTAACTGGTGCTATGTTTTGCCAAGGTAGGCATTTGTTTAAATTACAGCAGAAACAAATATTTCTTGGAACATATGCCATTCAAATTGTAAATTCAGTGCTAGTGATAAGAACACGTTTTACATTCAGGAAATTTTCCTTCTAGGTCTCAGTGTTATGGAAAATGTGAAAGAAAAACGAGTGAATCACAAATTATGTGTTTAAACATCGTTTCAATTTTAGTACTCTTTGCTACTGTTGTAATGTTACTTTTCTTTGAGTATAATTGTAGAAGGAAGTGTAAATTTAAAGATAAAAATATTTACATCTCTGCCACAGACTGTCTCAATCCTCACCTATGGCTTTCATCATAAGTGTCAGAAGTCATTATATGTTTTAATTTGCTCTATACTCAGTGGTAGTAGGTATTACAAGTGGGTATTACAGATGAGTGCAATCAGCCTTGTAGGTTCCAAGCTCTTGTCTATATTTCAGGAAATGTTGCTTTTGCTCTGCTATCTTATGAACTGAAGATGTTAGTTCTTAAAACTGGAGAATAATAATACTTTAAATGCCAAATAATCATGGAATCATAGAATCATCAAGGTTGGAGAAGACCTACAAGCTCATCCAGTCCAACCATCTTCCTGTCACCAGTAGTTCCCACTTAACCCGTGTCCCTCAGCACAAAGTCCAAACACTCCTTGAATACCTCCAGGGTTGGTGACTCCTCCTCCCTGGGCCCATTTCAGTGCCTGATTCTTTTTTTCTTTTTTTTTTTCCCTCAAAGTCCAATGTATTTTCAAATGAGCTTTATGACATCCTTTATAAGCATTTTTTCCACCTGTGCACAGCATGAAAATGGGTCAGATCATAAACATCAGCCATGGAATTCCTCCAGGATCTCCTTTCCACTCATATGAAGAATTTCAGATGCACTGGAAGAATCTGGTAAAAAGCACTGGTTTCGTATTTTCCCTCTCCTCCTCATGTTTAATATGAACTTAAATTTGTAATGCACATTTGTGGGGTTTTTTGTTTGTTTTTTAGTATGGATATATTCTTCCAGAGAATACTGAAGGGAGAGAAATATATTTGAGTGTTTACTTCAAGCCAATAGGGGAAAGGTTATTTACGTATCCTTTGAGAATGTTTTTGTTCCACGTTCTCTATCACTCTGCTGGCTGAGACCTAAATTTTCATTTTTGAATGCTCCACATTTTCTTCTACAATTTCCAGAAATCAGTGGAATTGTATTGTTAGTCAAACTGAAACAAAAAATTACATCTGTCTGTGCTAGAATTTTATGCTAGAAATTATATGCTAGAATAATAGGAAGTCAAATAGGTCAGGTTGCTTCTCAGCTTCTGTAAATATGATATTGCCAATCTAAATGGTGCCTTAAAAGGAACAGTTAAATTAACACTATTTCTGTAAAACTGTGGTGAGCAAATATTTATTGTAAAGAGATTTTCTTGCTAGGAAAGACTAGATTAAAGGTTATATACCATTATTGCAGTAGGGTAGAACGTTTGAAGTCCTGTCAGTTTATAAGCTTCGGTCACTTAAAGTAGATGCTTTTCTTCAACTTTCTGGAGAAAAAAAATCTTTAGACATACTTCATATTTTTTTCTAAAGGAAAGTGATTCATAATTGTGAAAATACAAAGAAGCTTGTTATGTATCCCTGAACACTATTCAGGTACCCTCTGAGATGCATTCGGAGTCAGCCAGTGCAGTATTTCCCTAGAACAGATTCAGAAAGTGTATTGAATTCTTTTATTTCTGATGCAAAGGCTAAGTTTTCACACCTGTGTGGATTTCCAGTAAGGATGTCAAGCAAAGCACTTTATGCTACACAGGAACTCTCCCGGACCCCAGTGTGTGTAAGGTTTTTGTCATTTTTTTCTTAATAAAAATACTAGTACCATGTATTCTGTTTCTGATTTGAAGTAAGCTTTGTGATATTCAGAACTCAGTGACAGCATGAATGTGTGCTTTCAACAATGATCAAGTTCTTTTTAATAAATGTGTAATGTGTCATTATTTTACATTGTTATATTGTTGTTCAGTTGAAAAATACATTAGAAAGGAAATTAGCATTAGAATTAGTGTTATAGCATTAATTTGTTGCCATCAGTATTTGCTGTTCTATCATCCTTATTTTACAGTCAAGTTTCCAGGACTTTCCCACACTCCTTTCAGAATAATAAGTTTTAAAGATATTCTGCAAATTATTTTTTAAAAAACAAACTAAGGGAAAAATTAAGTTGCATAAACTTGGGCATTTAAAAGCACTCCAGCTGTTAGATTTAATCTGGCTGGTGATGGAGAGGAGGCACAACACCCTTAATTGGAGTTTTAACAAAGACTGAGACTCAAATTTCTCAGGCAGCAGTATGTGAAAGAAGTGAAGTAATTAATTCTCAACAAAGAATGCTGACAGAAATTGCAGAGATTTTAAAATACTATAATCCTCTTTCAGAACACAGTTCCTATTTAGGTCTCTTCAATGATCAAAGCTAGGATGGTTTCTCCTTGTCATCTGCAGTTTTTATAGGCATCCAGACAACTTTTGTTCAAAATATAGATGCCTTTATTAGTCCTAAGAGCCTATCAGACAAACTCCCTGCAGACCCCTTTGAAAGGGCGTTGTCCGGTTGAGAATCACTGAACCAAAGTAATAACAGATATTTTACATGGTCTGGTAATGGCAGGACAAGGAAGAATGTTTTGAACTACAAGATGAGAGATTTATGTTTGCTGTTAGGGGAAAATTTTTCACTCAGGCTCTGGCACAGCTGCCCAGAGAAGCTGTGGTGCCCCATCCCTGGAGGTGCTCAAGGCCAGGTTGGATGGGGCCCAGGGCAGCTCTGCCCATGGCATGGGGTGGGGCTGGGTGGGCTTTGAGGTCCTTTCCAACCCATACTGTTCTATGATTCTGAGTCAATGATAATATCTGTAATTTAAGACTTTCCTTCTGAGAAATACAATATTGCAGCATAGTTTATAAACAACAGAAAAACTAGGAAAGGAAAAAATGGATCTTCAGTTATGGTTACAAGAAAATATTATTCAAAAATACAGGCAGTTATAATTCAAAACAGGATTTTGTATGGTTATATATTGTTGAGTGTATCATATATATTGTATAGAGATGCATTAGGTGATCAGATTTTTAAACCCGGTTAATTGAGTTTAGCAGCTCTCCCTATATTGCAGGAAATACAGTCTGAGTCTATGAAATTGGCTGGAGAGATGGTTTGTGTAGTATCCCTGACCCAGACACCTCCAAGGAAACAGGCTTTGGCTAGCATTTCTTCCTCACGCAGTAAGGAGAACAGCCACTGGATGGAGCATTTGATCAAAGAGCCAAAACCGCACACTTCTTCAAGTAGCAAGGAAAGTGCAGAAGAGATCAGCGTTGAAGCAACTGAGAAATTAATCAGTAAGCAAATACCTGGAATATCGGAACTACCACTTTGGAAGTCCTTAGGAGTGCCTGGAAGCTCCGCCTTTAAACACCCTCCAAAAAAGATTAGTAAGATTATACCAATTTTCAAAGGAAGGTTAACACAGATGAATGGAAACACCACAAATCAAACTGATGGGAAGGAAAGAAAAAATGTTGAAAGACAATCACTGGTAAAATGTGTTAAATCTTCTATGTTGACTGTTTGCAAGTCCAGCTTAGCTGGGGTTTATAAGCCTGCTACTCACAGCAACTCGCTTCAGATAATTACTGAGAAAGCATGTATAAAACAAGACGTATCTGTATTTCAGTGGAGAACAGAGTCCAGTGGACAAATGATTAATTCTGACTCTTCCAGTAACTCAGCTGCAGGTTGGAGTTCATGTGAAGTAAGTCACAATAAGGCAAACTCTCCTTCACTGCATAAGAATGTTAGGTCAGCGCTTCAGAAATCTGATATCAGTCCAAAACTAAATACATGTGCATCTTCCACTTCCAATTCAAGAGTGGGAAAAAATTTTGCAAGTCAATATGCCATACAAGTTCTCAGGAAACAATACCAGTCAAAGAAAGTACATTTGCAGAATTGTAAATTAGAGAATGAAATGAGAAATTCCAGTTTATTACAGCAACAAACAAAGAAATCAAATGAAGGACGAGGGTTAAATATTCATGAATCCATCTTAAATGATACAGTGTGCATTGCCAAAAATGATGAAAGCAAAGCATCCTACGGTTCTAAGAACTGTATTGCTAAGACAACCTGTCTTCCTTCCAACTCTGTCTGTGAACAGGTACAGTAAAGAACAGTCACTGGTTCTCACAAAATCAGCATATTCTGAAACAACACTGGGCGATAAAGAGGGTGTCTTTCATCATGTTCTGCCATCATTCTCAATATAATTGTCTAAAATTATCTGAAATTTCTACCACATGTATTAATGTTTTGAAATTAACAATTTCCAGTGTTGTTCTGGAAGGGAAGATGATTTACTTCGACCTCTGAGACAGATAGTTTTTTTATTTATTTATTTCAGGCTTTTAAGGTGGAATAACTAGTTTCAATTTCTTTAAAACTGTTCTATCAGTCTATCAAGATTTGTTTAAGGGTGATTTTTTCAGTGTTCAGTCACTGTAAAACCATATTAATGAGCAGTCTCTGGGATGAATCTCAAACCTCGTTGTTTGTGTGGTGCTGACTGCAGAGTATATAAAGCAGTGCTCTGTTAGATGACATGGAAGGTTTTGCAAATATGAGTTTAATCTAAATTTTGCTAAAAGTACAAATCACAACACAAAGGATTCCTCCTTGGTATAAGGAAAATAATCTCCAGAGTGAGAGTAGCTAAGCACTGGAATAAGTTGCATGAAGAAATAGAACTATTATCTGTTCAGTTTGTTAAAACATGACTGGGTGAGGCCCAAAGTAATGTGATCTAACTTTGAAGTTATCACTGCTTTAAGTAAAAGTTGCAACTAGATGACCTCAAGGCATTCTCTACAATCCGAATTTTCTGTGATTCTTATTGTATTTTGATAATACAAATAGCTAAGCTGATTTCAGTACAATTTTTATGGGAATGATGTCCTGCAGGTAGGACACATGGATGAAATGTGTTGTGCTTCTGTTTTCACCTATAAAATGTGATGTGATGTGTTATGTCCTGGCATTTTTTACCGTTCCATGTGCACAGTTTTTTAGACTTATTAGCTCCTAAGTGCCAAACCACTGGGAACTAAGGGGCATAAGACTTTTTTGCCATCTAATAGACACATTTTAGCTTCTAGAGTGACAAGACATGAAGCAATTTCTAAACAGGGTAAGTCAGGATATCAGGATGAAACCTGGCTTGAGGAGTAGTGAGATCATAATTCACGCTGCTAGTGGTAGACATTACAAATACTTGTTGGTGAGATCTGATTGACAAGATACTGTTGGTGTTTTTTTTTCTTTTTTTCCAATGAATGTATAAACTTCTATACTTTAAGATGTCAGATATTTGTTCCCTGTAGACATGTGATGAAGCAGTGACCTCAAATCTGATTCATTCAACAAAGGAGAGCAACAGGGAAGCATCTGTAAAGAAAGGCTCTGCCAGAAAAAGACAGGTAAAAGACCTACACACATACACCCTTAGTCCAATCTACAAGAACTCAAATTAAGAAATAAAAAGGAAAATATAAGCTTTATCATTTTATCATGTTCCATTTAAAACAGAGAAATAAAGAAATATTACTGAGCCCACTCTTGGCAAAAATGATCATTTATGCTGGTATTATTTCAAATGTGCATTTAACACTCTTGTCTCCTGCAGAAGTTAGTACTAGAATGAAAGCTTTAATGATGTTACATAATGTAAATATGTTTCTGAAGTAGAATCGTACAGACAAAAGTTCTATCTGTCTGGCTTAACTGTGGGTATTCTTATTGGCTGTGTAAATGTTACGTGCATGTTACATGCTTGAATTCAGCATTATTTAGGTAGAAATGAACTCCTAAAGGCTAGTTATGAACCAGTGTGGAATTTTAAAAGGTATATTTTCTCAATTATTTAATGTATTTCAGATGTTTTATTACTAGGAAGGACAGCAGCAATTAAATGGTTCCTAATACCAATTGTGTTTTTTGACCTTTTCCTCTAAATTCTGTTCTAATGACAATAGTGTGTAATTTAAAATCCTCTTAATTTTTTCATTACTCTTAGTTATTACTTGTATTTACCTCTAGGCTACACTTCTGCTTCTCAATGTCAGTCCTTCAAAACTCAGTTATATCTTTCATTTCTTTCTCTTTACGTTCACATTCTTAATGCTTTTACTGTCTAGAAATTAGGCTGATCAGTGAGGAGCGGGTCTAAAGCTCAGTACAATTGTATTTTCTTACACAGAGATGTAAGTATTATCTGTGCTAATAGCCAGCAGAACATACTGTGCAATCGCTCTATAAAATAAGTCCGGAGGCGCATATGTTGCACACACCTATCTCTGTTTCCATCCAGGTTCCCTTGCCTTTTATGTTTTATCTCGAGCAATCAATGACCATTTGAGGTCTCATTACCCATGCAGTATGAAGGGTCTTTGCACTTTGTATGTCGACCTGAGAGCCCTGCAAGCTGCTTTAGGGAGGTGGCAGCAAGTCCTCGCTGGCTGCCTGCCATTCCCACACTGCAGCAACACTACTGCTGGCACCGGTGAATTGGGTGCACAGATGAAGGGGAGCCTTGGCTGGAGGCTTGAGAACATCCAGAAGAAATTTTTTAGTTGTGCTGTTAGCTTGTATTACTGCTTAGTTGTTTTCCTGATTTTTTTGCTCGTTTGTTTTGTTAACAGAAAGAAGAAGGCTCCTCAAAATTAAAGAAAGTCAAAAGAAGTAAGCCTTTTATTTAGGATATGATGAAGTACTGAAGAGAATTCTGGGTATGTTCATTATGAAGTTAAAGGATTTTTCTCATTATTCAAATAATACTGCATGTCTATAATAACCTTTGTATTTTATGGATTATGATATCAACTGTCTCCAAACGAATCACTTTTACTAAACAACTGGTTTCTAGAATAAAATACAGAGGTAGCAGAAGCCAAGGTTAACTGGAACAAGAAGCCAAAGTCCTTGGTTTCTTTGGACACCAGCAAATAAAGCATTGCTTTATTTTTTTTCCTTTTGTTACAGACAAAAGCATATTCTAGTACTGAGAACTTGGCTTTAATTTGTATCTTTGCTCTTTTTTTAGACTAAAATAAACTTCTTTTTTTTTTTTTTCTGCTGCTGCTGAGTTTCATTTGAACCTCAGCTAAAGTTAAAACTATAAACCATTACAGTGGGACTACAGTGGTTATTTAATACCACTACATGAAATAGGGTAGCTAAATGCTTTTGTGGTGCCGAGATCCAAGGACAAAATGGCCTGTCATACAAAATGAAAAAAATTAGTTTTATGGCCAGATACTTGAACCCACAGCATGGATTGTTGCTGATAACTCTCTTGCAGAATAGAATAAACTTTTCCTAAGAATATTAAGGGTGCATACAATGTATGAAAACCACTACTTTTATTGCTCTAGTAGTATATTGCACATTTTAGGAGAAAAATATGCAGGCAGGAGCAAGCCTTTCCAGTTCACTGTTTTAGAGATATGTAGAAGAAGATTTATTCAGAGAAAAACATTGGTGTGTGAACAATGATCACGTAGACACAACAGTACAAAAATATAAGCACAAATCAAATAGAAAATATACAAATTTAAAAAAAAGCAAAATACAAACTGTGTGTCTTTTAATCTGGCTTTTGGCTTCAACAATAATGCTAACAAGTAGCCAAATATGCATGTTGTCTCCGACGTATACTTTTTGTCCTTCTATTCTTAGTGTTGATAAATTCTCTCAGGTGAATGTTACTATCAATTGCCTTTCTTCCTGAAGGAAGTCTGTTGTACCCATAGAAGATTTTCATATGGGGCCTTTGGATTCTGCTATTCAGCAAATCTATTTCTGTATCTAGCGTTTCATCTGCCCTGCTTTAGTTTCAAAGCCAGACAGTTGAGGCATAACCCTTCTACAGATGTGATCTGTTTCAGCATATTGAGCATAGACATCTGACTTGTTGAGAACTGACAGGGATCGTGTTCCTGAGAATGGCCAGAACTTTAACTTTTTAATGTACATAAAATTACAACTTTCTTGTTTATAGAAATTAGAAATATATAAAAACAGAAATATAGAAATTTATAGATTAGACACCAAATGGCCAAGTTGATTATTGTAAGTAAAGCATAAATGCTGGAGAACAAGTTGTCATTCATGAAGTGTTTATCATAGAGTCGTTTGAGTTGGTATGGACCTTTAAACGTCTCCAAGTCCCATGCAATGAACCAGGACACCTGCAGCTACATCATGTTGCTCAGAATCCATCCAGCCTGACCTTGAGTGTCTCCAGGCACAGGGCATCCACCACCTCACTGGGCAACACGTGTCAATGCTTCACTACCCTCATGGTAGAACAACTTTTTTCCTTATATCCAGTCTAAATCCTCTCTCTTTTAGCTTGAAACCATTCCTCTTTGTCTGATCACATATTTAATATATGATTTCTAAGAATACCACTGGTATGGGTTCATCATCGGCACTGGAGACTTAAAAACAAAACTAGAGCTAAAATAACTTCTGCTGTTGGATCAGTGCCTACGATTTCATTTCTGAAAAAATTTGCTTTGATTTTTCTTTATGATGTATTACTGTACTTGCATTCAGAATACGTTTTTTCTTCAACACTTGAGAATTACTTTTAAGTTTTCAAATTTACTGTGCAGCAACAGCTGTAGGTGAGAAGGTCCTAGAGTGGAATTCAGTTATGTAGTTGACAAGAATGACTTGGATCTTGTAATTCATGGCAGTAAAAACATTTTTTATTTTTTTTACTATTAGCTTCTGAAAAGGGTTGGTTTGTTACTAATGTGCCACATTCACAGCCTGTAAACTGCTTGAGGAATTCAGAGTGATTCTGATTTTCTTCCCAATTTCACTGGACCAAAAAAAGGGGATATGTTGATAAAGCATATAAAATGCTATTGAAAGAAGCACATAATATTTTAAGATCCTTAATATTTAATTCTAGCACTAAACCATTCTCGTTCATTCTGTTTGTATCTGTGTGTAGACAATTCCCCCCTCTCTGGGGAAGGAGATACTCAAAATAGCAGAGCTGAATTTCCCAAGCCACTCATCTACAGAACTCTTCCTGTAGCTCTACTTTTGTGTTGTTGTAGGATACTGACCTTTGGATATGGTTGCCAAATTCCATTTAGCAAATGAGAACCTAAAAACTCATCTGAGAGAGTAATAATACTAATATTTTACACAAAATTAATTTCTACCATTGATGTAAGGATACTGTACACACAATGAATGTGGGGGATCCACACAACTGGAATTAAGTAAAAATTCTCAGTAGTTTTGTATATGAGAGCTGGATCACTATTATATTGTTTCTTCTAAAACGTGGATTGTCCCAAGCCAACATTTAGGAATTTCTCTTGTAATCGAAACGATACAGTATGAAATTCAAACAAAGCCATCTTTCAAGTGCTTTCTTGATGTAAAATATAAAGTTGAAGTAATAACTTTTTGTTATATAAACATAGCATGATCTGTTTATTGAAGGAACACATAACATAAATTTGAACACATTTACATGGAAATTATACGTGGTGAAAATGTGTATTTTCATTGAAAAAAAGATTCTGAATATTTTTTAATCACTTTAATCACTCAAAGATAAAGCAATTTATTTTATAATGCAGGAAAGCTTATTTCCAAATCAGATCGGGAATAACCTTTGGTCTGTATGCCTTAGTAAGTTGTTAGAGCCTTGCTCCAAAAAGTAGATGTTATCACGTTACTGCTATTATCCTGTCCATTTTTCATTGCTGCAGGCTTGTTCCAAATTGCGGTTAATCCAATTTACTGCATGGTCAACTATTTTAAAATGCTGGAGAATGGTTTCTTCAGATTCTGTCTGTTACAATTCTGTAGAACTAAGACTTCATCTCAGCTAGTTAAAAAGCGGTGAACGTACTTCTGCAATGGAAATTGCTGTCTCCAGAACCACAAAAACAATATTTTGAGGGATTTAAATTTAAATACTCAAAATGTTAGAGGAAAGACAGGGTTGAGTATGTATGAATGACAGCTTTTTCATTTGTTCTGTGTAAAGATTTAAAAAAAAAAAAAAAAAAGGAAAAAAAGAACTTGGAATGTTCTAGATACAAACTCTGTAAGGAAAACACAAATACAGAGATACACCAACTTTTGTTGCATATTAGCTGTGCTGTTCTGAGTTGCCTTTAGATTTCTTTTGTGATCTCAGCTTTTTCTGTTTTCCTCATTCAGGCTTCCAAGAGGCCATTAACGTACTTGAGGATCTCTGAGCTTTGTGACCTTTACTCTGTTTATGTCATGTCACTGCTACCTGTTCTGGATGAAAAATTGAAGGTTAAATACATACAGTCAAGTGAATCCATATGTCACCACCTCCCCCAGACAGTTCAGGTTAATAATCCTCAAATGGTTGTGGAAATTCAGTTAATTGTTTGGAATTCTTTAATCACATTATGTCTATCCAAGCACTTGCTCACACGCCTGATTGCTGTTCCAAGTTATTTTGAAGTTTCAAGTTTGTATTTTTATGTCATAATCATATTTAATGACCCAATTATTTGCTATATTATCTGCATCTCTTTGTTTCAACAGTAAAACATTCCTAAATAACTTCTTGTCAAATAGTTCAAAAATAACTAATAAGTAGTTTTTATTAGTCAGGGAATGATCTCAAGGCTGGATTTGATTACATCTTCTTTAGCTCCTGTTATATCTTTTAGTGAATTTCCATTCCCACAGATAAAACCACTGGATATAAAGGGTTTTTAAAGTCCCGTTCACAATGCCGCTCTTGAGCAATTCATGCAAAATATATGTTGCTGGCATTTAAGTAATTTTATCAAAATAAATGTAGTTACAAATTTACATATGAATTATTTTGGTTCCATTGTTGTTGTTTGTAAGTGAATATTATTGTGTTACGTGGAAATTAAGAGGCAAACACCAATTTCTAAACTCAAATGATATCAAATTGTAGTATAAGGTTTGCTTTGGTAATACATTGCCAAAACCTTTTTTTTTTTTTCTAAAGGAATTGGTACAGTAAGACTTCACATGCTTTATGAAAACTTTGGATATTGCCATGGTTGTGTTTTTATTTGCCTCATGTTTCATGTTAGGATTTTTCTCTCCTGCAATAACAAGTTTGTTTATTTCGTAACATTTCGTTATTTATTTGAAATGGAAAATGTTAGCATAGTTCTAATTTAATGGTGCCAGCATTTAAAAGAAAGTGAGCACTTCAGTGATTTGTAAATTTATTGCATACAATATAAAAAAAACTGCATCACACAAATAACACGAAAAAGAGCAATATACTCATCAAGAAACCAAACCATATTTATGTCGTTTGAAAACTGGTATACCAAAGCCACTTTTCAACTGCTGTGGATTAGTTATTCTTTCATAGGTTTGTTTAGATGTAATCTATCTTTTCCTTTCTCACAATATGGAAAAGCTTGTGGAAAAGTTGTCTTTCTGCTATGCTATGTAAGCTTGTGCTTCATCTGGTCTGTCTGTCATAGTAGCTATTTAAGTGCTGCCTGTTTCCAGCATTTGCCTGGTATCTCCTTATTAACGGAAGTCATTCTGCATCACTCTCATGTTTTAAAATGTTTGCATCACTTCGTGTTATCAATTATAATACTCCAAAGAGAGAAAATACAATTATTGTATATTCCATTTGTTCCACTTCAAATAAACTACTGAATAATTCATTTGTGCTAAATGGCCAAATCCTTCTTAGCCTGTGCTGTGGGTGGGAATTACTCTAACCCTCCCAGCCCTTGTAAATATGCAGCAACATGTTTGGTACAGAGTGAAAATGCACCAGGTGCAGGAGTGGTGGTGGAAATGCTGCTGTTAGGGAGGTGAGGTTAGTGCTGGGGCTGCCTTTGCAGGGGTTTATTGGTGCTGAAGGGATCTTCACTGCTGCCTTTTGCTGTATGTGGAGCAGCATGAAAAGCTTCTCTCAGTTCCTCCTGTAATGAATTCTCACTAGCTGGGCAGTGCCCTCACTGCCTGGGGTCACCTGGGGCCTCCGTCCGTAATGTCTGCAGGTTGGACTTCTCAGAGGGAAGGAACAGACAGACTCACTCACCTGCCCCAAAATATCCTGATGTGCATCAGTAACAGGTGGAATTGTAAAAAGTTAAAGAAATCCTTGGGAGTCAGAAAATGGTCAAAGGTCAAAAGGTAGAAAATATTACCCACCCTTTGATGGCTGCTGGTTTATCATTTTGTATGGCTCTTTCATCAGTTTTTCTGTGTCTAAGTCAATTCAGACTTCCATGTGGCAAAGCTTTCTCTGTCTTCAGTACTGGAGGATTCAGAGGACTACAGCTGAACTATTTGTGATGAGTTTACGTTATTTAGCAAATACATACTTCCAGAGAGCAATCTGGTGTATTATGCATATTTTCATAAGTTGACAGTGTTCTTTTCTTCCACAGATGTAACAGATGTAAGCCAAAGGCACTTCTTACATTCTTTAAACTGGCTTCTGCTCAAACTCCTTGTCAAATCTAAACTTAGAAAGTTACAAATTATTTAGGCAGATAAGCTTGCTATTTATTCCCTTGGTGCAGGGTTTGTACCAGCTTGTGTTAATAGTTGGTTTTAAAACAGCCAGGTTGAAGCCCCCTCTCACTGTATCACAGAGTAGTGGAGTGAATGGAGTAATTCAAGGACTTTGGGCCGCATGCTGATCAGCATGCTGGTCATCACTTCGTGGAGAACCATGAAGAATTTCATGGCATCTGTCCTATTTGTTCTGGAAAACGATGTGTTGCAGCTGTGAAAAAGATTCACTGTTCTATCTTGTTGCAATGCTGTAGTTTTGCTAGTCTGCACAATGCTGAGCGGCGGCTCAACCTCTCACCTAAAAATTTGCAGCCAGGATGAGCATAAATATTTTCCCTGGGATCTGCACAGAACTGGATGCAAACTCTGAGTAGCTTAATCCCCCCAGGGCAGCATTAGATTCCAGGACAAAACAGCCTTACTTTGCTGGAAAATATGTGCAAATTGTTCCCAATTCTATCAGGAACACACGTAGCTTCTTGCAATGATCTTACTTTTTTTTTTTTTTTTTTTTTTTTTTTTTAAAAAGAGTGACAAATTTATTTTTAGACTCTATGTTAAAAAGATTTAAGCTTACTCTGCATCACCTTGTTGTATAATACCTTCAACAGACAGATAGTGTGAGTGCAGCCCAGCTCAGCTGGCTTCAACCCCCGTATCAATGTATGAATTTACTTAAATACTGTTAAACTATTTGAAGTGGTCATGTGGGTAGAAGTGCTGCCGTTGAACTTTACTGTGACCAACCAGCACGCGTTGGCCCAGTGAAATGCATTTTCCTTAATTACCTTAATAAGATGTTGCAGCAGATTTAAGCAAGTGCTAAGATTGGCCTTAGAGCTGCTGCCCACCTGACTCGGCTTACCTGCTCCAGCAGAATTGGCTTCAGTTGCTCATGTGCCCCAGTGCCTTCCAGAATGAAAGAAAGTTATCCCATGGTGAGATGCTACAAAGGTACTTGTCCCTGCACAGTCAAAATAGATAAAAATACTTGTTTAACTTTTTATGTTACATTTGGGATTCTACTATGCAGCATTGATATTTCAGGTAGGATATTAGGAAAAACTTCTAAAGAGTGGTGAAGTGCTGGAACAGGCTGCCTGGGGAGGTGGTTGAGTCACTGTCTCTGGAGGTGCTCAGAAAACCTGTAGGTATGCTACTGAGAGATATGGGTTAGTGGGCAAATATTGGCAGAAGGTGGATGGCTGGACTGGACAGTCTTGGAGGATTTTTTCAATCTTTCTGATTCTATGATTCTATGTTTTTATTGTGAGCGGAGCTACACAGCTGTGGAATACTTCAGAGGAGGAACATGAAGCAAAATTCAGCCTTTACTGAAGAGCAGAAAAGGGTGAGATGTCATAATTCAAACTGATACTGTGTACATTTTATCATCAAAAGAAAAAAAATACTATAAAATGAATTTCATTTCCTTTTCTGCCATTTATTCAGTGGAAAATAATAAGGAAAAAAGAAAAACGGACATTCTATAAATTAAATATCCTCCTGGAGATCATTGTGCATCTTGTAGCACATATGACCAGCATTATAAAGAGATGAAATTTGTGTAAACTCAAACACTGTTAACCATATACCTTACATAGTGCTCTTTTCATAGAAAGAAAGACTGAAGTAAGAAAGACAGTTCCAGAAGTTTTATTTCCTGAAAGATCAGACTTCGAAGGCTGACAAAAGTCTGTATTCCCCAACCCTGGAGGTGCTCAAGGCCAGGTTGGATGGGGCCCTGGGCAGCTGAGCTGGTGCGGGGCAGCCCTGCCCACGGCACGGGGTTGGGGCTGGGTGGGCTTTGAGGTCCCTTCCAACCTGAGCCATTCCGTGACTCTTATGAAAAGCATTTCATTTTGTATCAAACCTCACAGTTCCTGTAGGAATGCCCTCACCAAAATGCCACCCAGAGAAGCCAAGCACTTGGTCCAGTGGGCCAAACCTGGGTTTTTCAGTCTTCTAGCACTAACTGAATATTCTGCCTCTTTTTTTCAGAGATTTTGTAGTTTGGAAAGAGTAACAATGAAATCAGGATTCTGCCCATCAGTGAAACTGAATGCATCCAGTAATGGAAAATGTATGGCTCCCTGTCCCTGGGCACTGGGCCAGCCCAGCATGGTAAAAGTATACATCTTCATTAATTCTCAGTTAGAGAGGAATTGATTGATGCTAGCAGTGTAAACTCAAACAGTGTAAGCTGTTGCAGCTTTGAGCAACGTTGCCTGTAAGTTCCTTTTGGCGTCGGTGTGCTTCACGACCTGGGAGTGCACGAACTAGCACCAATATGGCATGATGTTGAAGTCTCTCTTTATTGAGCACTACACCCTCTTATATACTCATGCCTTGTTGTATGTTACCGCCTTTTAGGGAGGGGTCATCCTGTCTCGTGACAACACGACATTCTGTTATGCCTCTTTTACGCCTGTAACAACAGTAAGCCACCTCCTTCAGGGGAGAAAATTTAGTTTCAGGATTTAAGCCTGTTACTACTAGCTATGCTTACACTCTCTGGCCATTGGAATGCCAGTGTCTGGTTAGTTCTGAGGACACAGCAGGGTGTGGGATGCTGACCTTCATATCCTGGAGAGCCAAACCTGCAACCCGTGGCTCTGAGCATGGTTCTCATTGCCTCTCCCAGACTGCTGCTGGTCTGGAGGAGTGGGAGTGGGCACCATGCTGTACTAAATGGCAAAGAGCCCTTTAGAAAACTGGTGCACACGTCTGATGTGTGACTGCAGAGATCAATAATTTTAAGTAAACTCAGATTAAAAGCTACTTACTTTCTGCACTGTAAGTCAGGGTCAATACAATGGGAATTTCAATATTAAATGCTGTATGACTTTGCATAGAAAGTTGACATCTGATTGCATCTTTTTAAGTATTGCATTCAGTGTTCAAACCGGAAAGTTTGGAAGGTGCTATGGAAAGTTTTTTTCTGCTTTGCAACTGAAATTAGTTGTGCATTTTTCCTGAACTTCAGTCAAAAAGATGCATTTGTGTCCTATCGTATGCAATTTTTGACTCAAGGTGGAGAACTGAAGCAGCCTTGCTGGCAGCTGAGCAGGACAACACAGACTGGGAGATCTGCTAAAACATCACCGTAGACAAAATAGGCAAACAAAGGTGCAGCAGGAAAGTTTTTGCTGAGCCCACCCCTCAGTACCTCAAGGACATAACCACCCACATGCCCAGCTGCAATCTCAACTGAGCTCACTTAGCTGTGCATCAGTGATGGCATAACGTTGAAAGTATGCATCATTAATTTTTAAGACAGCTCCCGTTAGAAAGAAACTATTAGACTTTGTGATGAGTGTAATAGACTTGCCAGGGCTAAGTTTTATCAGCACAACATTCTTATTTTCATGTCTCTGAAGAGCTGGTATCTGTTTAAGTTACAGTGATGCTCATTTATTGTGCAGTTTCATGCAGTACCCGAGGGAAATCTGACACAAAGTGTGGCTCCTTCACATCAGCTGTAAATGCCTCTCTGTACCATCAGGGAGAAGGCTTCAGAATAATAATGCACCAGTCTTTTAATATGCTCATTGCCAAAGGTTTAGCACTAAGTATTTTTTTATTTTATTTTGTGAACATAGGCAAAGATATTTGTTCGCTATTACTTGAAAATATAATACATGATATAAATAATGTTATTATCACCTTTGACTGCTTCAGTCAGGTAAGCTCAGGAGATCTGTACAGGAAGGCTTTGTGGTGCCACGAAGTGTTGCTAGCACTTGGCTAGGGAAACGTGGTCAGAGACTCCAGCTTCTGATAAGAGCAGAGAGCAGGTAAGCATCACGATTTATAACTTGCGCACCTTGGTTGCCTGCTTCTCAGTGAGTTCTTTGCACATGGAATTATGTCTCCCTTCAGGGTTATGATGGCACTTCTATTAGCACCAGTTAATCAGTCATGTTGAGCTCTGTGTTATATACGTCCCTCCTTTCCTTCAGGTTGGTGCACACTCAGTCCAAAGTCTCAGAGCCTGCAGTCTAGTGAAGGTCTTCTCACCTCTGCCTTAAGAACTACAGCACGCTCAAGACTTCAGCATGAATAATGCACTTTGGGGAATGCTCTGCAGAAAGTAATTAATGAGCCTGGCTTTCATTCCCGGTGAGTCATGTTTGGGCCAGCAATGATTTTCATACAGCTTAGGTTGTTCACTGTTAGTTCAGAGGAGAGATATGACTAAGTGTGGAGCCAGGTGTCGTTTGAAAAGAGAATCTGGCAAGAACTGAAGTAACCTTTCTTTTCACCGTTTTGGTCTTTTGAGATCAAGGTAATTCATTCTTAGTCATAAATGTTTGGTTTCCCTCACTTTCTCCTGATAAATTTTACACACTCCTACCTTAGCTTCCACACGTGCATCACCCCAAGTGGTGGCCAAGGAAGGACCAAAAAGTTAGCCAGTACTCTATGCTTGCATAATCTGATTTGAAGGTACCTCTAAAAGAGGGACCCTGGGAGTTATCTTCTGAAGCAGTGACTTTTCCAGGATGCAAGTGTGAGGGAAATTGCTGCTGATTTCAGACAGGTAATGCTATTCCTTTGGCTGCATAACCACTTTTCTTCTATCATCTTCTCTATCCTTTTATGCTCAAAGCTCAGTGGTTGATGCTGAGAAGAGAATTCCTTCAACTACGTACATAGATGGAGGGGAAAACATATGAGGGACAGCTGAGGTCCCTGGGTGGTTCAGCCCAGCACAGGGGAGCTGAGGGAAGGCCTGATGGCGGCTGTAGCTCCTCACAGGCAGCACAGGGGCAGTGACAGGGCCCAGGGAACAGCATGGAGATGAAGATGTATCAGGGGAAGGTCAGAGGGGAGTTAGGGAAAGATTCTTCATCAGAGGGTGGTGGGTATGGAACAGGCTGCCAAGGGCAGTGGGCATGGCCCCAAGTTCTGGAGTTCAAGCAGCGTTTGGACACCACTCTCATACATAAGGTTTGAATTGTGGGTGTTGCTGTGTGGAGCCAGAAGCTGGACTTGGTGATCCTTGTGGGTCCAACTTAGAGTGTACTATGATATCTGGGAAGCGATCCTGTAGCATCCCAGGAGGTGGAGATGGAGGGAACAAAGGTACTATTGGATCTAAGCAATGCAAGGAATTAGGGTTAAATGGCCTCAGGATTGAGGGGTGGAGCTATTTCTATCCTAGATGACATCAATGGATTTTGACCTTAGCCAGAGAGTATTGTATATGCCCGCATAGGTGCTCAGGGAAATCTGATGGTGCCATTCAGTGCCAGCTGCTGGAGCCTAGACAGCTCAGGACTTGGTTTCCCTCTTTGCCTTTTTTAACTTTAGTGGCAGTGATAACTAATAACCTAAACCAAGCAGAGCCGTTTGTATGAGAGCAAATAGTGCTGCATGCAATGCAAAGAACCAGCTGAGAGTTGAACAGATTTAGGGGTACCCCCCATGCTCAGGGTCTGGCAGAGTGCACCAATGAGCTGTGATACAAATCCAGGTGTTCTTCAGCCTCAGTTGTGCCCAGGAATAATCTAATAAGGGGGTACAGAGGTGGCTGAGAGACCAGCCCTGCAGTTCTTGACTGCTTATTAAAAGTCATGGGAATTTCCATATGTAAGATTTGGCCCCAAACTATTTTTAGTATCTGGGGAGTATGTTTTGTTGCTTGGAGTTTGTGATAAAATGGGGAAATAAGTTCTCATGCCCCTTCGTCTCCTGTTTATCAGTATGGCTGCACTGAATCCAAAAGAAGTGACCTTAGAAAAGAGAACTTTATGTTACAAAAATACTTGTACAGACTAAGACTATATGGAAAGCATGTGAATATTCCTGAAATATGATCAAAACAAAACCCAGATGACTTGAAGAGATTGAAGTAACATTATCTTTCCTTTATTCAACCCAAGCGGAATTTAAATCTGCTGCAGGCAGTCTCTAGAAATAGCACTTAATGTGATGCCAGAACATCCTGCAGAAAAGGTACAACATATTAATGTATGTAGGTTGTCTTTGATTTCATTTAGTTGTTTGAAAGGGCACAGCCAGATAACCACAGTAATGGTATTTGTGGGACCCACTCATTTGGGATGACTGCTTACACACAGCGTTGCCTGTGCCTGCTGAAGAACAACAATATCAAATTAGACCAATATCTTAGTTATTAAAACATATCTGGCTTGTTTTATAGGAGTCTGCTTTGAAATTCATGAGACAGTACTTTTTTTTTTTACTTTTTTTTTTTTTTTCTTTTTTTTTTAATATTTACTCTCTTTCTGCCCTTGCCCTAGGGCTGTTGGCCTAATTTTACTTCTCTGTGGACTTCAGGCTCTAGTGGATTTACAAATCATTTACAAAATGAAAACCTCAGGTTTTCATGTTGTCCTTGCGTACCTCCAAACCCAGATGGACCTACCCCAGTGCAGAGACACTGAAATGCTGAGAGACATTGACAGATATTGGCTCTGAGAGGAATGGATAGAAGAAATAATTCAGTCAGTGTAGTAAAGCGCACATTAGCATTGAGATCAAAACTACCACTGATTTCAATGGAAGCAAGCTCAGAGTTCTTTTCCTTCTCTCTGCTGGCTTTGTTTTTTGTTGTTTTTTGTTTTTGTTTTTCCCTGCATTTTTGAGTAATTCCTGTTTCTTACAGGCTCTGATGCCTCCATTTTTCTGTCCATCTTGATTTTAGGGTAGAGTTGACAAGAAGAAACAACTACAGAGAAGAAAATAGAGCTGCTGAATGCCATAGTTAGGACTTTGAGGGTTTTTTTTCCCATGAGTTTTGCTAGAGACAGGTGAAGCCTTGAGTCCTGTTTCATTCCCTTCAGTCATTCCCTTTACATGGTTGGCTGATAACAGCTTTTGAATTTCTCATGCTGTTCTGGCCTCCTCCTTAGTCAGCAGATTTCTTCATAAGCAGACACTTGAGGTAGAAAAGAATGCAGATGTTCGATATACAAAGCAGAGGAAAAATACATACCTTTTTGTATTTTGCCAATTCTTGGTAATGCCTGCCTAGAGAAATATTAAAACCATATGCTCACATTGGCCTTGGTGCCTTTTGAAATGAAATGCTATCACTTAAATTCACTTTGTTTTTGTTGTTGTTGGTGGTGTCAGTGGGTTTTTGTTTTATTTTGAATTCATTTAAATAAATGTACAAAGATTTCATAATAAAAAAAAATGCTGACACACATTCTTGCAAAGAGGACGTAGTTTGCCAGTAACTGACCCTGACTTGCTCTTAGCTGTCTTACTTAATGAGAAATGCATACTGGGAATGGATGGCTGGAAGCCAGAATCAGGAAGATTTAATTGAGGAGCAAGTGAGAGTGATTAGCTATTGAAATAAGCTACGAAGAGAAGCAGAGGACTTTCCGTGCCTGGATGTCTTCAAATCAACAATCAGTCTCATGTGGACAAAATAAATAACTGAACAAACATTTATGGATCCTCCACAAAGAGCAACACTATGAGAATCAGTGCTCTGTGATCTGCAGAAGATTGCAGCATTTAATGGTTCCTTCTGGGTTAAGTTTGAGTTTAGGGCAAATTAGAATGCTGATAATGTGAATGTAACTTTCTGAACCCAAAATTCCCTTGCAGATTTTTTTCTCCAAATCTGCCAGACTCCAAATGTCCAAGAACTGAGTGAGTGTGGAAAAAAATCTTGAAAGAGCTGCCAAGGAAATCACGGGCCATTGTGTCCCAGGAGATGCTTGTGGGTGAAAACTTATCACAGAGAGAAGCTTTTCCCGCACTAAGGCCCCATGGAGAGAAGGTCTGCCTGCCTCTGGCACTCCTAGCCCTAGAATATCAAACACTTTGACAGTCAGCAGAAAGTTCACCTTCAGACAGTTCTTAAAATGCCCAGCATTACATCCCCTGTCTGTATACAATAAATGAAAGGTAATTAGAAAAGGAAAGACTCGGTAGCTTTTCTTTTCACAGTAAATAATTGTGAGACACCAAATAAGCTGCAGCTCTTTCAATCCATTTTTATAGAGTCTCTCTTGCAAAACAAGCGTGCATGTGCTTTGATTTCAGACTAGCATTCTAACCATTTTCTTCAAAAGTAGAAAGACAAATTGGCTCCTTTGCTTAGTGGGTTCCTGTGATCTGAGGCTGCACAGAGATATTTCCCGTTATCAGTATGCAGCCTCCTGCTTTGAATTGCCAACTTCTGAAATTCTTTTTCAAGCATGCCTGAAATAGAATATTTCATGTGGAAATAAATGAGTTTGTGAAACTCTTTTAATTATTTTACTCCAGTGAAAAGATTAAAATGTTAGTCTCTCACATTCCATACCCTATGTTTTAACTTAAAAGAACATAAAGAAGATTAATAATTTTCATGCCAAATACAGAACAAGAGTATTTTTTTCTTTTCCTCACACAATCCAAAGCCATCAGATTCCTGCACCCACCTGCTGTGCGTATGAGCTGAACGTTATCAAGTACAAATTAAGGATCTGATTAGCAATTGCTTCTGGATGTGGCCTTGCACATTTGTATCTGTTTCACAGTCAAAGCAGAATCAGGCTTCCAGGGGATCAAGCACCACAGGGAAATAGAAAGGCTCTGAATTAGCAAATGCAGGCCCTATCTGATTGTAAATGTAGAAAAGAAGTTCTGGCTCATTTTGAGAAACCAAATTACATCATGTTAATATTCTAAGTGTCCTGATGAGTTTTTTTGGAAGGGAGGATGTAGTGGTGGTGTGGGGCTGCTGGGAATCAAGTTGCTTGTGGGCTGGACCTCAGGGTTTGCGTCCTTTGGAATGCTCACAGCCTTGCAGGGAATGTGCAGAGCCTCCTACCAGCTCCCAGGGCAGCCAGGTGCTCCCAGTAAATTACATGGGGATGCTGAAGTATTTCACAAAGCAGGTACTTTTTTTCTTTTTTTGCAAAATTGGTTGCTCTTTGCTGCCATTCAGTGAGACCTGGACAAGCTGGAGAGATGGGCAGAGAGGAACCAGGTAAGATTCAACAAGAGCAAGTGCGGAGTCTTATACCTAGTGTGGAATAACATCAGTGGAGGTTAGATGCTGGCTTGCTCAAGAAGAAAGGCTGAGAGACCTGGGACCATTCATCCTGGAGAAGACTGAGGGGAGATCCTATAAATGTTTACAAAAATCTAAATGGCAAAAGTCAAATGGATGGGGACAGGCTCTTTTCAGTGGCGTGAAGCAGCAGGAAAAAGGGCAGCATAACAAGTTCCATACAAACATGAAGAAGAACTTCTTTACTTTGAGGTTTACAGAGCAGTGGAACAGACTGCCCAGAGGGACAGTCTTCTTCTCTGGAGATATTCAAAACTTTCCTGGAAGCTTCCCTGTGCTATCTCTTCTAGGGACCCTGCTTTAGCAAGGGGTTGGTCTTGATGATCTCCAGTTCTCTTGCAACCCCTATGATTCTGTGATTCCTTACAGAGTTGCTAGAGAATTCCCAAGCAGCCAACTGTGGCAACTCTCCACAGAAAATAATGCTTGAAGCAGCGCACTTCTTCAGAGCAGTTTGCCACCAGAGCCTTCCCTAATAACTGGTGGGTCATTGCCTCTTTACCTTGGATCTGGTCCATGCCTGTGAGTGATTAACCTCCCTAGCTCACTCGGTGGCTTCATCATGAGCAGATGTCCTGCTAAGCTTCGTATTTTTTTTGTGCCTCTCAGGTGTTCTGAGTTTCCTGATGGAGCCGCTTTGGGCCTCCCAATAGGAAGAAAGGTTCCTGCTCCCTGGACGCTGCCACTGATGTTTGTTCACCTGACTCCCCACCCGTACCCACTGTAGCTATGTGTTACCACATTTCATCGTGCTTTTTCTCCTGAAACACTGCCAAATGCCACTTCACCTTTATAGCCTGAAAGGGAAGTCAGTAAACTTGCACCAAACCTGATCTAGACTTCCTGAGCCAAACTTTTGCAACCTGCTTAGAGGTCCCGAGCTGTGGTAGCCTGAAGGAAGGAGGTGTTAGATAACCTCTCCAACCCAGGAATCCCCTGGATTCCCCCACTGCTGCATGCCAGGAGATGGGCTTTGCCTCTAAGCATTAGTAACCCAAAGAAACATTTTTTCCTCCATTTTCTCTCTAAAAATTGGTGTAAATGAAAGCTATTCAAAACATAGGAAAACGAAGAGTAGCAAAGCTTAACTTTGTAGAGATAACTTTTAAAGGCAAATGCAGTAATGTTTGTGGGATTCTCATCCTCCTTGTTTTGGAGGTCATGGCAGTGACAGGCAGCTGTCAGTTCAAGCACAGGGAAATAAACTACCTGAAAAATATCAAAGTCAGTTGGTTACCTTCAGGTAATTTGGAGATGCGAGGCTTGTCTTGTCTCTTAGATGTTGCCTGTCAAGTTTTTGTGAGGCTCTCATGGCCTAGCTTACAACTTCTTGCTTGCACAACCCAGTTGTGGGGGCAAAGGGCAGCCATGGGGCTGGCCCTGGGTGCAGGAGGTGCAGAGATGGCCCTGCTTGGCGGGAACTGAGCAAGCAAGGGCATCCCTAACCTAAACCTTATAGGAATAAGGTTTTGAACTGCTGAAACTTGATTTCAGTGGAAACATGCATTTTTGTGGGCTACTTTGGTATTGTCTTGTAAGAAAGGCCAAAACTCCAAGAAATTTAGTGTTGGATGTCACTTGCTTGTTTCTCCTTATTACAAATAAGTTCCCTTCTCTACAAGAGGGAATGCTAAAGTATTGTCTCCATGCCTGGCTGCCCTGAGGTAACAGGAACAAGCCTGAGATAGCAGATAACAGATGTCCAAATCAAACACACTTGAAACCCTCAGAGAGATGTTGGTCTGTCATTAGAGCAATGCTAGACTGTGGCCAGTGGGGACCTGAATGTTAATTTTCCCCTCCCAGTGGTCTGTATTATTTTAAAATTTCCTCTAGCAAGTATTCCATTAATGTGATTTCCTCATACTACATTTAGCTGAGAAAGTTACATCTCCTTTATTAAAAAATGATTTTTCAAATAAACTTATTCCAGCAGATTTTTGTTCTGAAGATGAGGATCTGAATAATGCTGGAGGAAAAAAAATGCTGCCTTTTTCTTTTTCTTTTTCTTTTTCTTTTTCTTTTTCTTTTTCTTTTTCTTTTTCTTTTTCTTTTTCTTTTTCTTTTTCTTTTTTTTTTTTTTTTTTTTTTTTTTTTTTTTTTTCTTTTTTTTTTTTTTTTTTTTTTCTCTATAGAGTGCTGATGGCCAGGACTCGTAAGGAACCAAGTGGTCTGACATGGAGCAGCTCCCCACACATCCAATTTGACAAACCAAGAGGAGGCACAGCATTTTAAGGCCAGCTTATCTGGCCCATGGCAGATTCTCAGACACAGTAAAAAACTGCAGCCCCATTAACTTCACTGGAGATGGGTCTGCTTACAGCAGGTGGCACAGTATGAAATGCGGTTGTCTGTCTAGGGAAGGAGGTGTGAAATGTCAGAGGCAGGTCCTGACAAACAGCTTATATTTAACAGCAAAAGAGAAATGGAACAAAGTCTCCATTACTTTTTCAATGCAATTAACTGCTCTTCTACTAATGCCACAAATCTGTTGCTCTGTGTCCTCCTACAAGCAGTAGATATGCACTCACACAGATCACAATTTACAGGGTGCTAATAATTTCTGAGGGCTCTTCTCAGGAAAGTCTTACAGTATTCCATGCATTCACAGGTTACAACAAAATTAAGGCAAGGATCCTGAAATATTCCTCCCAGATGTTAAAAAGTCAAAGTGCCTCTGACATTGGGAACAAAAGAGCTCGTGGCCTATTTCCTGGGAAGCCCGAGACACCTACTGAACAGAGCATCAGAGAGGTCTGATGGGATTTTGGTCATGACTGTACCATGCTCTGGTCTGAGGTGATAAAGCTGAGGGCATGTCGTAGGGGCAGCAATCCATGCCAGTGACTGCCAGCTGCTTGCCTGGTAGATGACAGTGTCATCTTGGCAACAAACCTTTTCTTTCTTTCTGAACTCTCTGACTCAGATGAGCTCATTTTTGCAGCTTTTTTCTTTTTAGGGGGATGCCATTCTTTATGTCTTCTGCCACATAGCAAATGTCCTACCATTGATTGAAAAACAAACCCTCCAGACCTTTGTAACTGTTACCTTCGTGATTTCTGGCTACCTTTTATTTTTCTGAAGGCTGAGACTGTCGTAAGTGATGTGGGAGTGGAAGGGAAGTTGGGAGCATTTATGGCATGCTGCAGCTAGCAGACCCACAGCTGCTCACCGCACTCTATCTCACCTTCTGTGGATCAGCCTACGAAGAACCACTCTATTTGCAGCATTGCAAGGAATCAGTTTCTAGGTCTCCAACATTGTTTTATTAATGGAAACCAAAAAGTTCAAAACTGTGCCAATTAGGAAATCTTAACAGGCTTTGCCTTATTCTTCAGATCTGTGGTAGGTCATGTATGGAAGAATATTGTTTCATGCAATTATAAATTAATGAGGAGTATGTTACTAGTGACAATGGATGCTTTGTGGCTTATGGTTTAATGACGAGTACTTTGAAAAGAAGACTTTGTGCTCTCAGGGTAATTTATGTTAGAACAGGAGCGTCTATAAACTGTAGGTGTCTCATTAAATTCTGCTGGTGATTAGAAGAAGCAGCCATGTGCAGAGATGTTCATCAGGGGCTCCATGATTTGTGTTGTCATGCCTGTTTTTTTTTCCTGATAGCTACACACTACTTAGCATTGTTGCTCAGCTGCTATGAGCAGAACTCTGCAAAAATAGCAGGTTTCCATTCAGAAGTGAATGGCACTGGGCCAGCTATTGATTTATGGACTGACATATACCCCTGTATAATGACTGCAAGAACGCTTGGTACGTACCTGCTACCTTTCTTCTGGAGTACATTAAAAATAATTTTCCACTTGATAAACGGAGTCATATAGCATGATATTTTTACTGGTCATTTTCATGGAGTGAGCTGCAAAGTGTGGCTTTATACAATGACACTGTAGAGAGGGAGGCTGAGAAAGTTTGTCTGTATTCCCAGTTCTGATTAAATAGTTTGGCCTGAAGGCAAGATGGATATGTGCCCATTTCTTCCCACCCCTGATCTGAGATTGAAACTTGGTATAATGCTTAAATACATATATATCTGCCTTTAAAAATGATTATTTGGGAGATAAAGTTGTAACATTCAAACTTTTAACAGTAGTGATACATTATTTAGATTCCTCCTTTGTCTTATTCATCTCAACATCTATATGACATTTATTTTATAATATCCACAGAGTTTCTTTCATAATTCGCTGCTAGTTACATCTTTTAAAAGGCAACTATCTTTTAAAATCTTTGCACCTCCATTGTTTGTGTGGTCCCTTTTTTCCCCTTTATCTTCCAGTTCAATCTAGAATAGGCAAGGAGTGGTGGGACTCTCTCAGTGGTGAGGTTCTCTTTGGGAGGATGTATTTAAATGACACCAAAGGGCACCAAACTCCTAGGCTTGATTCTGATTTTTTTTTTATTATTATTTTTTGGTATGCTGAGGTCTTGCAGTGAATGTAGATTATATTGACACCCACTTCTGATCCTGTAGGTCTTTTATAGAGCAGTGAAAAGGGGTCTAAATGTGAGAACGAATTCAAGCATTGCATTTTACTCCTGTCTTGCACAGCACCCATCACAACAAAGCCTTTATCCACTTAGCTCAAAAGAAACAAGAAAATATTTTTAAAAAGTGTTTATTGTCTTAGAAGTTCAGATGGAGAACTTATTACATGGAGACCAAATATGTGCTTTTGGCTCCCCCCATGTAAACCACATCCGCAGATGCAAGAAACATTTAGTTTTTTTTGAGTAATAGTAGTTAAGAAAGGCCATTGTGTTTTTTCTGATTTTAAACTGTATGATCAACATTGTAGAAAAGGGTGTATGCAGGCACTGGGGCGTGGAGATGACCCAATCCAATCTCTCACTCAAATAGAGCAGAATTCCTGGGGTCTTGTCCTTTTGCATTTGAGTATCAAAGACAGAGAACCCATGACTTCTTCTTTGGGACCCTGTTCCAGTACTTGAACTTCTTCAAAATATTTTTCTTCATGTGAGGCTGGAATTTCCCATGTTCTGCATATTGTTGTTGCCTTTTTTCGCTCACCACATGCTTCTGAGAAGAGTCTGGCTCCATTTCCTGCATGTTCCATTTAACTGCAGACTGAAGTCACCTCTGAAAGCTAAAGAAGCCCAATTCTCTCATAAAAATATTCTCCATTCTTAAGCAAGAGCAAAGCTGGATTTGTTTTGTACAACTTTCTTCTGATGAAAAGATGTTTTTATCTTCTTTTAATAGCCCTTCATAGTTCCAGAAATGTCCACAGATGCATACAAATACCAATTAAAAACCTATGCCTATGGATTCAGCATTGCTCCAACTCTGCTCTGCACTCCAGCATAAGTGCTGCTTGAGAACACGTCCTCAGGGAAGCCAGCTTAAGTATTTAGTGCTGTGGAACTGCACAGTCCAGCTACCAGATGCCCAGGCAGGTGTAGGGAACCTTTTTTGGAAGGGGGGTTGGACTCAGTGATTTCTGGACGTCCCTTCCAACCCCTACAATTCTGTGATTCTGTGATTCTGTGTGTGTGCCTGGAATGAAATCCTTCTTCCATCCAGAGTCAGCATCTTATCTGGCCAACAGCTTTGCAAGGTCCTGGACTTCAAATGAGACAGTGCTATGCTGCTTTGCTGCCTGAAATATGAAAGGAGGGAGCCAAATAAATCCTTTCACTTCCTTCACACTTTCCAGAGAAAAAATGTCTTATTTCATAGAGAGTATTCAGACAACTCTTATCTGTTTCCTACATTGAAAAGCTGATGGTATTAAATTTACTTTTACAAACTTCCTGCAGTAGGCTATACTGGGACAGCAGGCCTTTTTCAACAACATCTATATCAGACTTCCAAAATCCCAGAGCTATGGGAACAGGGTGAAATCAACCTATATTTGGAATTAATATTTGTTTTATTTCACTGCCCTTCTGGACGTGAATATGGTGTTGCCCTGAGATGTCAGCTTCAGCCAGGCAATCTGCATTGGAGGAGCATCAGTGAATGATGGCAATAGCATGAGCCAAGTGCCCCACCATAGTGCCAGGGCTTGGATAGGGTCTACAGCCAGGAGGGGTCCTTTCAGCCTCTGCTCTGCCTTCTTTCATGGGCGTACAAGAATGCCAGTTGTTGAAAGTTATGAAAGAAACTATCATCATAGAATCATAGAATCATGGAGTATCCTGAGTTGGAAGGGACTGACAAGGATCATCCACTCCAACTCCCAGTGGGTACACCTCAGGACTGAGAACTGGTTAAATACTCATGCATTAGCAGCCTACTAAGACCCCAAAGGTGGTCATATTTCCTAGTGAACTTGCTCTTAAGAACGGGGAGAGTTAGTACTCATAATTTCTTGCCTGTCAGCACTATCCAGACCTTCTTTTCACTTTGAGTCAAAGACTCAAACACTTTGTGTTCTTCATTTTACCTCTTCTAAACTCAAAGTTTTTTTAAGATTTATTAGTGCCTTGGGGTGACTCTGGGCAATGATACCAAGAAAGCCTTGAGGGGAGCCAGCCTGACAGAAGGAGCTGTACTGCACATCCCAAACACCAACGCACAGCTTTCCTCTAGCTTTATAGATCACCAAGCCAAGGACCACCCTCTTACCAAGTGGGTGACAAAATGACAGGGCACTCAACTTCAATAGCTCTACCTGTCAGTGAGTGTCGTAAGAGGAGGAGATGGGCGATCTGCTGTCCTGAACTATCAGGAGTGCCTCATCTACCTGCTCATCTCTCCAGGTAGTGAAGAGAAGAAGCAGGAGCTATGTCTTGTTGTTCCCTGCCTCTTCCTAAAGCTGGGAGGAAGCAGCTGCAGTATGGGTGGATCTGCAGCCCTGTTGCCAACATACCAGCTGCCAATGCTGAGCCAGTGTGCATGACAGTGACTGTGATGGATGTTGCTGATGTACTCAGAGAGCACCTTTGGACTGATTCTGAGTCAGTGCAGCTGAGCTTGGGCTACAGTGAAATCTCTGTGTTCTCACATACATTAAATGAATATATAGCTCACATTACTCCCCCCTCTGCCTACTTAAAATGCCAGGAGCTTCTGCTGTCTCGCTGACATGAATCAAGAGTGAACACCAAAATGTCAATGAGTCAGGCTGTTGTAAATTGTGATCCAGCTGGAGCCCTAAAGTATGCCTGATATCATATGTGAATTAATCTAAGTACATATACAAGGGAAAACAAACACAAAAAGAACGAGGCAGATCCCTGCTACTTAGCAGATTCCTACTGCAGACATTTCAGTGGTACTCATCACTTTGTTGGCTGAGTCTTGGCTTCACTTCTTTGGTTTAGAGAGATATCTACTGAAATGGCAGTTATGCAGTATACTTGCATTAACTAATGCTTCTTCAGCAATATTGCTTTGGCTGATACACTACTGTTCATCTGACATTTTCTAAGAGCTGAAGATGTGAGTTTGATCCATCAAATTTAACTCTTCAATCACATAAGAAATCTTAGTGAAATCAATGGGTAAAGATATGGAATTTGATTAAGCATTCCATTAAATCTTCATTATTCCTGCGCAGTGTGTGATGTTCATTGCTATTACTAATTCATCTTGCATTTGCCCAATTTGTACAGAATATAGTAGGAAAAATAAAAATACTGTGTACTTGGACTTGATCCTCATGGGTCTTTTCCAACGTAGGATATCCTACGATTCCATTATTCAGTGAACATTTACATAAACTTACAGTTCATCAAGCAGATGCATGAACATTCATGTGCACATCTGCTGTGTTTATTCCACAAACAGTTTAATAGGATGACTGAAGGAAAGCCTCTGGATGTATGTTTGTAAGGGTTATTTTTTCTTCTTCCATGCTCCAGACTGGAGCTATAGTCTTAATCCATGTGAAAGCATATCTGAACCTGAGTTTGGCATTTATCTGTAATCTAGAATCAGATACTATTTGTATAAGTACATTTGCTCAGTCTGAAGAGAAAGCTCCAGGGGAGACCTGATAGGGGCCTTTCAGTATCTAAAGAAGGGGCTGTAAGATAGAAGGGAACAGACTCTTTGGCAGGGTCTGTGGTGATAGGACAAGGGGAAATGGTTTCAAACTGAAACAGGGGAGAATTTAGACTGCATATAAGGAAGAAATTTCACAATAAGGGTAGTGAAGCACTGGTACAGGTTGCCCAGAGAGGTGGTGGGTGCCCCATCCCTGGAGACACTAGAAGTCAGGCTGGACGGGGCTCTGAGCAACCAGATGTAGCTGTAGGTGTCCCTGTTCACTGCAGTTGGAGTCAGACTGGGTGATCTTTAAGTGTACCTTCCAGCTCAAATGAAACTATGATTCTATGATAAAGCTGGATTTTGAATACTGGAGTAATGACATGGATATTTACTCACCTGCTATATATTCGGTTGTATGGGAACTGCTGAATCATGGCCTGAACCTCTGATTGATCACCTGAGGCGAGCAATGAGTCAGCTATGGGAGCACAGGTGAAGGCAATTCTTCTGGAGATCCCTCTTTTGGAGCTTTACAGCAAGCCAAGCATAAGGGTAAGCATTCTATCTACTCTATTTTTGGTATAATAACCTGCTTAGCCAAACTCTCGTCTATTTCATGATTATGACATCTGTATATTCATTGACTATATATCAGTCTATCAATCAGGCCTTTATTTCATGTAATAAATATTTAGTCACTGACAACTATCATCTGTAAGATTAGAATGGTGCTTAATAATCCTTGTACTGGAGGAAACTTTAACTCTTGGAAACTATTTTTTCAGTTATAAACTTTCTTGGTATACAGGACAAAATCTATTTCCTCAGAATAGTGATAAGGCCTGAAATGTCTCACAGAGAATTGGAGAAAAAGTAATTTGAATGTATTTAAAATTTGGAGTAGGAAATATGTTCTGCTTTATTCTTTTCAATGGAAAAGAAGAAGAGCACTTTGAATTCCACAAATGCAAATATTAATTTGGGATACTGGTTGAAGCATCTACTTTCTTCAGGTACTAACACTTAACCTCTTATTTTAAAGAAAAAAAAAAAAAGTGATCTTGTTCTTTCCTATAACTTCTCATGTCATACTTTTAAGAGAGTGAATCCATTCTGAACTCAATAGAGTCTGGTCTCTTCCTTCTGTAGTATAAATCCTGGAGAGATTATGACTAATTTAAGCAGAATCATGGTTGTTTATTTTTCTACCTACCTGCAAACTGCTAAGGAATACGGAAAAATAAGTGCTATTCGCAGTAGTTTCCAGCTTGGATTACATGTATCTTGAAAGCACTAGCACAAGCAACTATGCTTGTGGAAGTGTCTTTGTACTCAGTCATATGTGTGTCCTCCTGGCTGTCATCACCACTTATGTGTGTTTCTAGTATAGGAAGAAAACCCTGGCAGTTTACAGAAGAAAAAAAAAAAAAAAAAAAAGTAGTTCAAAGTATATTTCAGAAGGACAAAATAATCCCAGAGTTTTCAAGGAGCTCAGTGATCACTGCTGCTTAGGGGGCCTGGCTGGCAGGGTATTTGTTTATCAAATTTGAAAGAGCCCCATAAGATTATGGATCGTAACCTTCCTAGGGATTTAACGTTTCACCATTTTGTCACTTATAAACACGTAACACTTCTATTGAGAAAAGCACTCCTACAGGTGGATTTCATCTTTCATCTGTTCTGGGCTTCTGAGAGCATTTCCCAGGATTGCTAAGCTGATTGCACAACTCCATTGATAGTGATTATGGTTTTTCTTACAGTTGCTTGTCCAGGTATGGAAACTGATACTAGAAGCATCAGATTTTGATGTCACGGTCTTGTACTCATTACAAGCTGAAATTCATCACCTTCCAACCCAACTGCATACCACAGTGTGATCTGCCAAAAGGTAGGTAGCATGGTCTGTGGCTTCAATTCTTTTTCTTAAAATTACAAAAGAAATTAAAAGAGCATTTTGTGTCCACACTTTTTCACCACAGAAAAAATACATATCAGTGCAGAGTCCCTAACTACTTCTACATCCTGATCCCATTTTTTACCACTTGGAAGCATTCTGTTCAGTTCATGTTTCTAGTTGAAAGGAAATAAAGCCTTCTCTCCTTCTTCCCCTGTCCTGAACAAGTGGTTTAGCACCTACTGCTGCCTTAAGCAATACATCTGAATGCTTTTAGTGAAAGGGGTCCAGCAGACTCCCACTAGGGTTTAGGTAGGCTCTGTGTAGGAAAAACTGTGGCTACAGTAATGACCTGCTGTTCTGGGTTAGTCACCATTATGTCAACCCCCGAAGCACAGAGGACAACAGGAAAATCCTTTGGGTCATGTTTTGCTTTGTTTCATATCACCGTAGTGCGTGACAATGGCTTGCAGATTCTTTTTGAAAAGGATGCTATACCAGAAGGACAAAAATCTGCATTGAGGAAGAAGTTTTGCATGAAAATGTTGAGGAAAAGGGCCAAAATTATTTTTCCTAAAGATTATGAAATAAGCTTCAACTGAATTAGCTCTTGTAAACTGTGGGAACAGATAAGTATATTATTGCAGAGTTGAAACACCTGCTGTTAACCAGGATGCAAAGAAGGAATAAACAATGACTTAACATCATTCCTCTTTCACAGAGAGCTGTAAATATTGGTAGAAAGTTGCTGAGTAAGGCATGACTACAGCAAGAGGTAGAAACAAATCAAGAGGTAGTGCCACTTTTATAGGGAGAAAAGGATTCAGGGACAGATTGACCAGGCACAGAGATGGGGCTGAGATCAACTTAAAGGGAACAGGATTGTTGGATTAAGTGTCCGTTTCCAGTACAGTCAAATGCTATTAGTGAACCTATATAAAAGGAGTCATTTTTTATCTGGAGGAGTAGCAGCTCTGGAGATACCTGGAACTGAGAAACCAAGCAGAAACCACCACAGCCCATGTTAACATCATAACCAGGATGCAGAGATGGAAAGGGAAAACAGCCAGGGCCCAACAGCAGGCAGGACATTCAGCAGCACCCACCTGACCCAGCCAAACCCTTGACCCAGCTGGTTATGTTTTCACATCGGTGGTAAGGCAAAAGGAAAGCAGCTTTGTCAGAAAGGAGCACCTTCTGACCAATGGTTTACCGGCTTCGATTGACTTTGCAAGGTGCACAAGGTGCTGGACAATCAGACTCTTAGATTATCCCTGTCTGCATTCATTGCTGAAGTTGTACCAAAGCCAGCCAGAGGGGCTGTGTAAGTGAATCTCACTCTCACAACCCAGCCACGTACACATAATCCTACTGTGTTCTATTGAGGGGTTTCTGAGGCACTGTTTGTGAGGACTGCTCTCAGTATCATGAAAGGAAGGAATGAAACTTAATGACCTGGGAAAGTGCATGGTGTGGGGGAAGGAGGTCCCTGTCAGGTAATGGTGCCTGAAACTAAGTCCCAAAGAGTTTGGAGAAAGCTGTCAAAGGCAGTTTCCCTTCCTAAATTCAGCTAAGGAGAAGGATCCTCTGAAAAAGTGACATTCCACCAGCATTTTGCTGCTACATTACATTTTACTATGGATTTTAGTTTTTTGTTTCACTTACCCTTGTGACTAAGAAATGTCTGTTCCCTTGTGAAGGAATTGCAAGAACACAAAGGTAATCTAGCAATAACAGAATCACTGTACCTAGGGATAAAGGCACCAGATCCGTGTTAAGGCAGGATCATTGATAAAACCACACTCGCATCATTCCTGACTAACACTCACTCTGGCCTACAATTAAAAAATGCTAGTTATGAAGATTAAAATTTTCCCAAATGATCTGTTCCACAGGTCCACTGTTTCTTACTTTTAGAGAATCTCTAACATCTTATTTATTAGCTTAAGCTCATTTCTTGGCATATCCACCAAGAAAATTTGGGCAGAACAGTTCACTCCTACTCTTCTTATCATCCTCTTTCTTTTTCTGAAGAGTTGCCGTGCCCTTCTTCAGTCCCTTCTTCCACAGACTTCCCCCAATTTACTCAAACTTACCTCATACTCCAAGTCTTCACAAAGTGAAATGTACTTTTTTCCAATTTCCTATTCATCTTTTCTCTACATTAGATGCATCATGTGTTCCCAACCCTTTCACACCATTCTTTCCTTCAGTATTTTCTCCTCTATCATCTTCATTGTTTTGTGCTGGGCCTTGCTCTGGAATTTGTGTGCCTTGTTTTGTTCTGCTTTCCTGCTTTTGTAAAGGATGACCTTATGATGCTGTCTCCCAGGCTAGAGGAGAAGCACAGACTGAACACAGCTCATTAAAATAGGATCTCTGGAGTCCTAGTTCTGGATGAGTAGCACACTGCCTTCAGAACAGCCCCAGGCAAGACAGCTGACCTTGTCCTCTCTATAGACTTTTCAGTACTTGAATGATTTTTAAAATTACAGTTTATCAGAAGAAATAGTGGTGTTTGTTAGTTTTTAACTAATGCTAGTTTGAAAATTTGAGCTACTTTTGGGTAGGTGTCAAGGTCTACTAAGCAGGTCTCGTTGTTCTGGTCATGGGCCATCACTTTGGAAACATAAGTGCAAGGGACCACTACTGACCAGAAATAGAGAGGTTTGTGTAAAATTAGTGCTCTCACACTTCAGGAATGTGATAAGGCTGAGGGATATACAGATAAAAAAGATTAAGTGTTATGTGTCTCACATCCACAAAGCAGTTACTATCAGTCTTAATACTGAGAGACTGCTGTGAGCTGAGGGCCATCACAGGCTGTTGGTTTATTTTTGTTTGTGGGGTTTGTGAGGTCTTCATGGCACGAGCAACTCACAGATCTATTACCTAGTTCTGATACTAAATACATACAATTTTTTTTGGAACCTGTTTGTCAGATTCTCCAGCCCCTCCTACAAAGTTGGAAAGGGAAGGTTAATGATTTTAAAGAAATCTAGGAGCCTTCATTTCTGTAACTGTTTGCAATATCAGGAATTCTTCTGAAAATTTCCTTTTGTTTACTAAATATTAATTTTATAAGGAATCTCAATGTCTTGATATTGTTCAGTGCAAAGGACAGATTGTTGGCATTCCTGGGCAATTCTGCTATCTGGCGAAGTAGTGCTTCTTACCAAGTGCTCTGATGTTCAAGTGCCTGAGGGCTTGCTCACAAAGGAAGAGTCAGTGTCACTTTCTTCACTGCAGAATATAAGTATCCACACTGGAACTAAAAGCGGGTACAGTTATTTTGCTCTAGTAAAACCCTAAATAATTTCACATAACTTTTCCACAGAAAGTTAGCTATGGCACAAGTAACATAATACACCATTTGGAAACATTAGAATGGAGTGCTTTGTACAAAAGCAGCTCTCCATGTGACAATGTTTCCCTGTTTTAGCTTGGCTTTTTTATACTGAAGACTCAGTCTTTACTTTTAAAACCCTTATTCTACAATGAGAGAAAAACAAACAACTTGCATGTATTTATCCACATCCATCCCACCACCTTGTTAATGATTGATATTAGATTGATATTAGTTGTTCTGCACTTCCAGTTTTTGACTTCCAAGCACCATCTCATCCCTACAGAAATGCCTAATAACTTGGAGTGTGCACTCAGATGCTATCTGAGCAGGAATGCAAATGATGCGCTGAACATCGATGGAGAATACAGGAAAACAAAGAAGAAGGAAATCAGGTAATGTAAAACAATTTCATATTTCAAGAGATATTAACAGGACATGCCGCACCTGCAGTCATGAATTTCATTTGCATAGCTGGAAAACTATGTGCTATGAATGTAATACAGTGGGTAGGAGGGATGGAGGAGAGACAGAAAACACAGGCTGCCTCACATACAGTATCTGTTAGCAGTGGTTGTGATGTGGCCTTTGCAGTTCTGCCTTCTGCATCTACTCCACCCTTTGCAGTTCTTGTTGGCTGACCCGAAGCAGATGGTATAATTCAATGAGAGATTTCGGAGTTCTCTGGTGCACAGTAGCATCCACATGTCCCAGCTCTGCACACTCCTGCACAGCCTTCTGCAACTGTGGCTGCAGTGGGAAGGAAACCAATGGTCCTCTGAGAGCTGGAGAAAACCAGCGACGGAATATTTTGTCACAAATGACCTGAGGAAAGAAAGAAGAGCAGATTGCTGTCTTGCAGGAGCTGTAACTAATGCCCTGTTGCTTCCCTGGGACTGTAGCCAAATGTCTCTATTCTTGTTTCAGCTGAACCCATAATGTGTCTAGCCATTCAAAGGGGAAGATAAAGAAAAGGAACTTGTATAGAGGCTATCCTCTAGCTGAGGCATCCCCTTGTGCATAACAAATGGTGAGGGTAGGAAAGGGAGAAACAGGCAAAGCACAGCCAAGCTGTGCTCCCCCAGCCTCTGTGCTTGAATTAGTATGTTGCAGCAGCACAAGTTGAGTGAATTACAAGACAGCTCATAGCAGGGCCACTCGCCCTATGGACTCCCCTCTCTCCACTTCATCTGCATACTCCATTTTGTACAGCAGAGAATCACAGCCATAACCTTCCACTGCTTACAGTGGACTTCACTGTTAGTGGAGACAATAATGATGAATTCCCCACTCTTCCTACTTCCTATCTGAGGAACTGGGCAAGCAGCAGCTATGTGGAAAGACAACAAATAAATGGTCTGCTTGCATGCCCCAGGATGTGATTTCTGAATGGGATTGGCACCTAATGTCTGTTTAAAAATGTGCCTACATGCACTGCACAGCATTCTAGTACATATACCGTACATTTTATAATCAATATGATTTTAAAAGAAAGGCAAGCATAAAGCAGCTGTCTCTACTCACTTGCAAGTTGTTATTGGCTCTCTGTGCTCCACATCTTCTGATTTTCAGATTGCATTTTGAAAAGCAATCAAAAAAATTACAATCTTCGTCTCCTGTGCAGTTCTGCTCAAGGATGTCCCTCATTTTGGGTTCAAAAAAAGCCATATCCACATCGATGGCCACCACCTGTGGATCAAAACAAGCCATTAAAACAGGCAGAACACAGGCTGTGGGTAGGACTGAGCAAGCATTCTTTTGCCTCTTTCTCTGGGAAATGCTGTGCAGAGAGCATGGCAGAGAAGTGGGTTCTCGATGAAAGAGCTTTCTTTCGCTTAACTGAGCAGCAGTAGTCTTATGAATACCACATTTTAAACAAAAGCAGCCAATACTCAAGACAGCAGGAAAGAGAAAATTATCTGTGGACAGTATGCGTCCCTGGGGTCAGCTGGATTGATTTGCCTTAAACCAGAACTATCCAACTTGAAGACTGATTTACTTGTTTTTGCAATTTATGCAGATGGCAGCTCAACCTTTTAATTATATGATGTCACAAGTCTACCCACAGGCCAGATGGTATCACTTTGCAATTTGCCTTTCCAGACTAAGCCTGTGACTTTACCATTGCAGAGAGGAGCACTATGATGCACAGAAGTACCCACAAGTGGCATGGCTTCTCCAGACCTCCCATTGCATTTGGTGGGTTTGTACCGCTTTATACCTGTTCAGCTGTAGAAACAGATACCTGCAGTTGTTTAAAGCTGGGGAAATTGGGACTGTTAGTTACAATTTTAGTCATTTATTGTGCTGCTGCTGGGATAGATTTGAAACCATTCTGGGACTGAGTGGCTGAATCTCAATTTCTGTCAGTATCACTCCACAACGGATACTTCACTTCAAAAAAGCAGAAATCAGCAAGGGAAGGAGGGAAGGCAATTAGGTGATGGCAGCTGCCTGACTGTAGACTGACTGTGGGTGAACACAGTGAAAGCAGTCTCCCTATGGTGCCATGAACGCAGCCATCAGCATAACTTCAAAGCCCTGCTTAGCACTTAGCACTTGGAACCTTCACTCAGAGAGGGTTGTAGGGGTTGAAATAATTTTGCAGGTAGGGAAACATCTGGGACTTGGGCAAAGCAGAATTACATGGGCACAAAGGATAATCTCATTTTTAAGTTGCATCCATCTAAGTAACATGTGATACTGCACTGTGGCCGGAGCACCAGCTGGATCATCTCCAGGAACTAAAGATATCTGGCCTGGTAGAGGGCCAAGCAAACCTTGCACAGGCAAAAGAGCAAGGTCTAATCTTCATGTTATGCTTTTATTTATTTATTTATTTATTTTCCTTTTTCTTTCCCCAGGGAAAATCTTAATGTGATGAGGCATAGCTTAAAAACTCGAGTATTTTTAAGCTTTTTGGAGAGCTTGATAGTCATGATGTAGCCTAGGGAGATTCACGTGTTTCAACAGGCTGGTTGTTTTTTATCTTCCTAAGCTTTTTGCACTTCTGATGTTCACTTCTTCGGAGTTTCTTGTATCTGGCCAAGATGCATTTGGTGCAAGAACAGGGCAAAAAGGCACCAAAAGTTGTGCAGAATTTCCCCAGTCTTTTGGTCACTGTACGAACTTCCTTGTGGCTCTCTGCCAACTGTGCATCTTTGACAATCTTGTCACTTGTCATTTCTGCTAGGAAAAAGAGCCATCAGGATGACTTACCAAGGCAGTGATCTCTACCCTCCTGTACCGCAGGAACAGCACACAAAGGCTGGAATGAGGACTGGAGAGCTATCCCCAACACTTGAAAATAATTCTCAAAACTATTGCATGCCAGGCACTTCTTTGAGCATTAGCAGTCTCATTACTGAGATAAGTAATAATGGTACTATAATGGAATTTTATTATTATCCAATACGGAATACAAAAGCAAGCAAGTAAAAAATTGCTTCAAACAGACAGGAAGGACTAAAGAGAAGCTGCCTTTTTTGTGTCCCAATTCTGGCAATTGACAACACAGCCCAGAATTTCTACTTCTCACACTCCTCTCACAGTCACTCAGCAGAAGCTTTCTCTGTTTACCTTCTCAACTTCCTGGCTGTATGTATCTCTTGCCTCAGCCAAGTGGGGTGTAAGTAATGTGCAACGGGGAGAACCGTGTGTGAGCAACAGCTTACTTTGTTGTTTCTGTTGCTGTTGTAATTAACCCTCCTAGAAATTGCTACCTGAGAATGCTTTACTGTATCAGAAGGTGATTGCTGTCTCTTCTGACCCTAGAACTCATGGTAGAATCCTGGAGAATCGAGCCTCACCAGAAGGACTTGTAATGGAAATCACATCAAATATTCTCTCCCTTCTTCTAATTGAAATCTCATTTTCTCTTAACAGGTAGTAAAACAGATGCTCTAGCGTGTGTTCACGTGCAGCTACATCCTGGCGTAACTGAAAAAGATAGGTAAAGCCTGCTTTGAAGAACTTCTGCCCTATTCCATTCTGCTTAAGCATTGGCATGCTTTTCTCAGTTTCTTGCCATAGTTACCCACCCATTCCCTGTTCAGCTGCTGTACTGCACCTGAATAAACAATGTAAGTGAAGAGAAGGGGAAGGGGAATCACTCTAATTGCTCTTAATGACTATAAGTTCAGGTTATGTTTCTCAAGTGCTCTGAAGACTTGAGTGTTTGTGAGTTCTGATAACAGCTTACAAGTTCCTGAGAACTCTGTATATTCACTCAAAGTGCAGAAACTCCATCAATGTCACCACAAATTGCAAGTCTGGTTCAAACACTACACATTGGGGCTCCAATCCATACATGTAGTTCCCACTGAAATCGTCAGAATTCCCATCTGCAGAATGAATGCAAGATATTTTCAACAACATGATGGTGTGCTATATCACCACTTAGAAAAATGTACAGCTATTCACCTTTGAGTTATAGTTGTATAATGAAAAATCAAGCAGTAACAGTACTAAGGGTTTTCATATCACCATCCTGGAATCATTTCCATATTGGATAGGCTGAAGACTAAAGCAGAAAGATGCATATGTTTCTATGCAGGGAGTTCCCCTTGTGTCAGACCAGAAGATTCAGCCTTAGTGTTCCTTTCAGCATCACTACCAGAGATAATTACCATGACTCAAGTTACAGCTTCATTAAAAGCTTCCCAGATCTCCTCGCCTTCAGGAGGCATCCATCATCACATCCAAAGGATACGACCCTGTCAGTGTCAATACGTTTGAGCAGGTGAAACAAATCAGAACTGAATAAATAGTCCTGAAAACAATCAGCAGGATCTAGTGCTCTGAAGTAGCTGCATGAATTACAAAGAGGAAAAACAGTGAAGAAGTTCCCATGTCACTTTTAAATGTTTGTTTTGCAAAAACTTGGCGGGAAACTGCACGAGAAAGGAACTGTCATTTTTTACGCTGCCACTTTCAGATTAAAATTTAACCTCAAATATCCACAACTCAGCCCCAAAGCCCCAGCTTACCGTAAGATCTTGCCTGATAGCAAAGTTTTCTGGCTTGATGTCACACAGGTGTAGGCGATGAGAGAAATCATTATCAAAATGTTGCACCATATCCAGAAAGCTGAGTGCAATGTCAATGATGGCTCTCACTCTGCTTTTGCGGCCAGCAAGGGAGGGACCTGCTATGTTTTCCAAGGGAAAAAGAGTTTTGTGCCAGGCATGTCCAGCTGTAAGATACTCCACGGCATAGAAATGTCCACAAGAGCCAATAATTCGTAGCACATGTTTGCTGAAGTCCTGCAGCAAACTGAAGAAAATATATTCTTCCTGCTGGATCAAGGACCACATGCTGGCCACCTGCGCTTTCCAATGTGGTCCCTTCCTCCTTGTCCACAGGGGCCCTGCGCTATTGTTAGACAGTTCTAGCCCCAGAACGTTTTTTACCTCCAAGGCTACCATCAGCAGAATCTCTGTTTCAGGAATATCCTGTGTTTCCACCTCGTCCAGCATGCTGAGATGCTGGTAGCTGGAGAAGATTTCCTTTTTGGATTTCAGGATGATGGGCTGGCCTCTCCAATCAGCCTGGATGACCTTCTTACCTCTGTCATAGTAAAGGCAGTGTTTGTACACCAGCTTCTGCGCCACACACAGGTCTTCGCAGAGGTCGCCAGTCAGGGCTCCACTGCTGTAGTCAAGGCACTGGATTGAAAAAGAAGGAATATTCATATTCATAATCCTATGGGCCACTTAGGAGAACATCAGAAAATCAGTGAAGGTTCTAAGGCTCTAAGCTCGAGCGGACCATAGTAGTTGTGAAGCACAATCCTTCTACATCTGTTGGGTGATTCATTGGCTTTTCAGAAGGCTCTAGAGACTTCTTTTACTGTGGGGAGTCTTGCATTAAAACAGAGACTAGGGGAGTGGTAAAAGGGCAGGCTTTTTTTTCAGGTTACTTCTTAAGTTTTCACCACATGGGAGTTCAGTGGGACAAACTTTCAACATATTTAGGTGTTACATGAGATTCTGGGCCGTAACAATTTAAGATATAATAGATGACTTCCAATGTAACTCAGGACTCCTCTGGAAGGTTCAGCACAGTGTAATGTAGACATCTCCATTTAAGCCATACGGGGGGGTTGGCTGGGTAGCTGGGACCCTCAGCAGTCCTTTGGGTGTCACCTCTGCATTCAATGTGCCCTGAATGAAGCGTTAAGAACCTCCTTCTGCACTGCTTCAAAACAAAGAGGTTGCACTCCAAACCTCTTTTTAAATATGTACATGTTGTTGAACAAAATGACTTGCTCAGTTTTCATATGTACTTATCACTGTCCCTGTGATATTTTTATATGAACTGCATAGCTACTTTCTTAAAAATTAGAGGAAAGCAGTCCACTGTAACCTGGGAACTGCTGTTTGATATTTAAGTGGTCACTGCAAATCTGTACAAGAATTGCAAGGTTTCCCTCACCAATCCTTCCCTAAACTCATAATTGTTTCCATGCTGTCACTTCCCAAAGTGTAGGCCATTCCTATATTCCTGTGGGCATTCAGAAACGCAGCTGCAGGGACTACTTTGGGCAAAGCAATGGAGGGAATGATCAGCAGTCTCTGGTGGATGGGGAATGGACTGTGGTGGCGAAGAAAGCCAAACAGCTGGGAGGCGGCTTGACAGCGTCAGCCTTCTTCATTGCTTTCTGGCATTTAAACTTCCATTGAAACAAGCTGGCAGCTCCTGCTGCACGTAAGAATGCTCGCAAGAAGGCTGCCTGACCCCCTGCCTCATTTGTATCTTGCCGTTACATAAACAGGAAACATGAGCATAAAATTTAAGCAATGTATTCTCTCAGAGTAGCCTCTGAGGTGTTACACCAAGGGAATGCATTCTGATGCCAGGCAAGAGCCTATGTTAAAAATCACTGGAGAGTGGGTGCAGGATTATGTCCGAAATCCAGGAATGATGCAGGAAATGGTGCTAAATTGGCTAACACAGCTCACTGGGTACAGCTCAGACAGGCACAGAGTTCTCGCAATGTTCTCGCAGCCCAAAAGAGAACATCCAGTGCCAGCAAGGGCAGCCATGTAAGTGAACTGCTTCAGTCCAGGGTGAGGTACCTCTGAGAAACTCACACATTGGCATCCATAGGATGGTCTCCCTGGCAGACTCCCTGGGCTGTCAGAGCGCACAGATCAATGATGTTTGTGAAAACGTGCTTCTGTGAATGCAATACAAGTTTATTTTCCCTTTTTAAGTAGGAAATATGTTTTGTTTTGGAACTTAAACATAATTATATTTAAAAATCATTGCTCTACTGTTGAGAAAACTATAACCTAATTCTTGTTTTGCCAGAATTGAGAATGGAGGACTCAATCCTGTAATTGGGTCCACATGAGTGAACCCCTGCCCTTGTGGACATTTTTATTGTGCCACGTTAACTCTTGGGGGCCAAATGCACATACATCTCATGTCCAGTAGATCACAAGCTCAGGAGACCTGCAGTCAAATGTGAACATGCAGCTTGTTTCCTTGTGTTACCATCATATCATACGTAACAGCAATAATAAGAAAAAGCAGTTTGGAAAAATAGTCTCACATTTCCCAGACATAGGAGCTGAGTCATTTTTAAACACGGCTGCAGTTCAGGACTTGTCTGCTGTTCCATTTGAACCAGTATCTGACAAACAGTCTGAGTCTTCTTATACTGAAAACGTGCAATGTTTGCAAAGAGAAATTAGCCAAGGAATTCCTACTCTTATAGTGATTAAGCACAGATTAGCCTTCAAGTATCATCCTCTATTGATAACCAATACAAGCAAGAACTTCAAAAAGGCTTCCTCAAATAATGAAAAGCAACTGAGCATTCTGAACAATTTTCAAAGTGTCTACTCACAGAATGTAGCAAGTAGTTGAGTTTAAAGTCTCACAGTGACTTTAAAAATGTCCCCATTTTCTGGACATTGTAACCTCAAAGGTCAGCAAAGACTGACCTCAACTTCACTTCTCAGTACTTCAGCCCAGTTATTCCAGCTCGGTGTTTTATGCTTTGCCATATGCATAATGCTTTAAGATTAGTTCTTCAACTGCCTCCTTATAATCACTGTGTTTTCAGCCCTTGGATCATTTTTGTGTTTTAACTCCCACTCCATTTTTTCTTTCCAATCTTCCCCCATCCATCTTAGCAGCACCAATATCAAAACTGAATGCTATGGTTTAGCATTGCAAAGGTAACTGCCCTTCCCTATTTCTCACTTTAGGACATATACAGAGCTCCTATCACCCTTTTTGGCATATTCTGCACTGATAGCTCATATTGAAGCAATTAATTGATCCTCACATCCTTTTCCAAAGTTATGCAGTTACACAGGGCAATCTTCTATCCTGGTGGCATTGATTCCCGGAGTATTAGCATGTATTAAAGTCATTTTTGTGGACTGAAAACTTTTAGACAGGTAATTCAGATTAAAGCTGGCCTCTGTTATTTACCAGCTCAGGAACCTTTTCCCTAACTGCAACTTTCACCATACAAGATTTTACTTTACAATGACTGCTGACAAAAAGGAGAACTAGAATCCAAAGAAATCTAGGAATGGTCCTTGGTCCTCCACACTGACATCTCTGTCTTAATGGCTGAACTCAGAGATCTGTTGAGATAGTTTAAATCTTCTTAATGGGCGCCCTTTGAACGCCACTATGTATCAGACTTTTAAACCCCAAATATGGAAGTGATACTAAGCAAAAAGCCATATAGAAAAGCAGCTTTACAACACAAGAATGCAAATAGAAGCGGGGCTTGGACTCTGTCATCTGTTTCTATTTAATTTGGCTGCATAATTTTTCATAACCTCAGTACATCAAGATAAGCTAAGAAAGCTGGGGTTAATTTCAGGTAAAAGTTTAAATTAATGTAAACCTTACCTAGAGTTTACATTAATTTATATAATTTACTGTACCACCATCACTTGGTGTATATCTATGAGGCTTGAGTTCTGTCTTCTTATCATGTACTTCTACATAAATGCAATACTCATCAAGGTTTGGGAGGCATCAAACTCCTCCAGAGAAAAAGAAAATTGATCACTGTACGATTTAGTTTGTTCAGTATAAGCAAAACTGGGACTGGTTCTAGGAAAGAGGAAGCAGTCTTATGAAGAGCTTAAGTTCACCTCTGCAAAACGCACAGGTCTTCCTGGGCCATCCCAGAACAACACACATCCACATAATGGTACACTGTACTCAGAAGACGGACATCAGTCCTTAGAAATACCACTTACAAGGGCATATACTGATGCAATTTTTCACCCACTTGTTTAAAATAGCTCATATTCTGATCTCCTACTGAAAATGGTACAGATGACAGGCAATGTAGTTTCCCTTGGAAGTCAGTTTTAAGAGGTGTGATACCACAGCGACCAGATTGTTTTGCCAACCAACTGCACATCCAACAACTGTGGGACTCACAGTGATTGGGAAGCGTATAAAGACCCATCTCTGGGCTGAGGTGACGCTGAGCTCATTTTCTAACTATTCCACTAGAAGGATAATCCCTTTCTAATGCCATTTGGGAAGACTGGGTTGCACACCTTGAGATCACAGATGAATACAGCATTGTCAGCCACCGTTCCTCCTCTATTGCACGGACGTCAGGGCATTTTATGAGCAATACTTGCTTGCTTGCTGCAGACTATTTCATTTCCATCTGCATTCCTCCTTTCCCTTTCCTTTCCCCTTCCCTTCTCCTTCTCTTTCCCTTCCCTTTCTGTCCTCCTTCCCTTCCTCCTTCTCTTTCCTTTCTCTTCCCTTTCTCCTTCCCTTTTTCTTCCCTTTCCCTTTCTGCTTCCCTTTAACCAACGACACTACAAATATGTTAAGAAACAACCTCAAAGCCTTAACCCATGCTGCTCCTCTTTTCCAAGTGCTTCCTACACAAACGTAAAATCTGCTCTAATTTCTTTCTTTTTCAGGTCTCTCGATGCTAACGAATATTCACAAATCCTTCCATGAATCCCGAGGCACCGCGTCTGAGATGTGCCAGACGTGAGGCAAACAGCTCGTGCTGCGCACCGCTCCCTAATAGCCGCTTTCTCTACGAGCACCTTCCCGACCGAAGCACTCCGGGGCGGGCTGCCCGCTCCCGAGCGGCTCCGGCAGCGCACCCACTCTCGGTGCTGCGGGAGCCTCCCGTCCGCAGAAGCCGACGGCGCAGCCCCCGTCGGGGCGCACGTACCAGCCTGGCCAGGATGCGGTGGCCGTCCTCATCCGTGCAGCGCTCGGAGAAGACGCTCCCGTGGAGGAGAAAGAGCAGGGCGCTCAGCACCACCCAGCCGGCAGCCCAAGCGAGGAGGAACGCGAGGGTGCACCGGCGCCAGCCCGCGAGCCGCAGCCTCCTCCAGCCCGGGATGCCCCTCATCTCCGCCACCGGGCCGGGCCGCTCCAACCCCGAGCGCGCCCTCTCCCCGCTCCGTGCCGGCGTCCATCGCCCGGAGCCCCCCGCCCCACCCCGCCGCCTCCCCGCGGCCGCCGCCCCCGCCCCGGGCCGGTGCCGTCCCCGCGGAGCCCGGAGCTCTCCTTTTGAATTGAAGCCACGTAGTTCCGCCTTCTTTTGTCTGCTCTCCCTGTGCCAAGCGGCCCCTGCCACCGCGGATGGAGCTGCTCGGCTGCTTCCCCCCCCCTCCGCCTCCCCCTTCCCCTCCAAGTTTCGCACCCGGGAATAAAAGGGGTTTTGAAAGCGGGCGGGGGCTGCTGTGGGAACTTCTCATCCCGGCGGCTGCCTGACACTCTGAAAAGGGCAGTCCGGAGATGGACGGCTCTTGGAGAGTGCACCCGTTAAATAGGAGGGGTAAGAAAGAAAAGAATGGGAAAAAAGAAAAAAAGTTGTTTATTCTGCAGTAACTTTGTCCAGTTTTATTCTGCCAGCGATGGTTGCCCGTTTACTAACGCTACCCCTATGATGGGCTGCCCCTTGGGCTGCTCACAGCACCTCCTGCTGCTCTGCTGCCCCATCCCGAGCCGCCGAGGAGCTCTGCACTGCTGCTGCCTCACGGCTCCATGGCAGCCGGAGGAAGTAGGAGGCAGATCGGTGCAGTCATATAACCACAGTATGGCTTCGGCTGGAAGGGACCCCAAAGCCCATCCAGCTCCATCCCCTGCCACGACCAGGGCTGTCCCCCAGCAGCTCAGCTGCCCAGGGCCCCATCCAACCTGGCCTTGAGCGCCTCCAGGGATGGGGCACCACAGCTTCTCTGGGCAGCTGTGCCAGCACCTCACCGCCCTCTGAGCAAAGAAATAAGGGTGTCTGAGTCAGGTTTGCTGTCAGATATAGTGAAGAAATGACCAGATTCATTTTCTTTCCTTTGTATGGACAGTTATGTCAGGCTACTTGCAACCCCATAGCAGGAAGATGAATTGTAGTTACACTTGGAGAGTAAATTATTTCCCCAAATGAATAAGAATAGCAATCTGCCTCATGGATTGAAAACTAGAAAATAATGCAGTAGGCGAATTTTAATGTGTGCCTTGTGTAAGTTGCCCTGGGACACGTTTTGTTAGTCTGTTAATTTAAGGTGGTAAGGTGAAGGCTGGAGCTCCTCTCCTGAGAAGACCGGCTGAGAGAGCTGGGCTTGTTCAGCCTGGGGAACAGAAGGCTGTGGGGACACCTCATGGCAGACTTCTTGTACTTAAAGGGAGATGATAAATTAGAGGAAAAACAACGTTTTACATGGTCTGCTACCACTAGGACAAGGGGAATGGTTTTAAACTAAAAGAGCGGAGATTTTGATATTACGTGTGAGGGAGAAATTTTTCACTCGGAGGGCGGTGAGGCCCTGTCACATCTTCCGTTGTGTTTCCTCTCTCCTACCACCTTACTCCTCCACGTCTATGCCCATCCTTCTCACATTTTATTTCACACTCTAATCCTACTCAGAGAATGGCACCTTTTGAGGCAACAGGGATACAGTGTATTTCCAGAGGATGTAGCAAGCAGGGAAGTCTGACTACTACCTGAAAACTAAATCCTATTTCTCAGTCTGATTCAAAACACTTTCTGAAGCTCTCCTACAAATTTCGGGGGTTCATCTTGAAATTTTTTTGGGCAGCAAGTGGGGAAAGGCAGGAGGGTTCTTTTGATGTCCCCCCATAGAGAGGACCAGCTGGGCACAAGCTGAGCCAACCAGCACTGGCTGCTGCTGCTGCCATCAAACGGCTGCAGATCTGCTGCGACAGCGTCTGGAGCAATGCTGAGACGGAGCTGTGTCCTACCTGGAAGAGGGTCACACGTGGCAGGGGAACTTTTCTGTACAGCTTGGCACAGAGCTTTTTGTTTAATAGCATAAGCACCAAAACTATATTTGTTTTCCCATTTCATTTTTTAAAACATGGATCTTGGCTTCTCTCCGTGTCAGTATTCCCCCAGAGGACATAATCTATTACCATTTCACATCCATAAAGTTCTGTATATGTATCATTTGCATTGTTCTGAAAATAAATTCTAGTTACTTTTGGCTTTGAGCTAAGATCAAGCTGTGGGACCTCAGCTCTGGTCAGGTGGCATAGCTGAGTGCTCTAATTGCTGCTGACAGAGCCAAGCACGTGCCCTTCTCTTCCTTTCCCTCTGTGCTTTCCTCTTGTTCATGGCTGCATAGTCCTGTCCCCTAGCAAAAGATGTGTTTTGCTGCCCACTGAATTCACTTAACTCATTAAGAGAGAAGAAACCCACAAAGCTGTTCTTTGCTAGGATTATTTTCAGGCAGGTAGGAAAGTCGGAGTGGCTGGGGATGCAGCCAGGCACGCAGGGGGAGCTCTGTAGGGAGGAGAGCAGCAGGCCGAGCCCCGCAGAAGGGCACGAGACAGAACTGTTCTGCCAGCTCGGCTGTGTCACATCTGCATGTCAAGAATGCAACGTGACGTTACAGATAAGGGGCTCTACATGGAAATAATTGCTGAAGGGACAGTCCTTCCCCTACTTTCACCCCAGACACATGCTTCTGCTGCTTCCTTGCATTGGCTCTGGTAACTTCTTAGCAGCAGGGTGACCTGGCTCAGCTGCTTGAGTTGGAAGAAAACAAACTGCAAAAATGAACTTTCAGCCAGCCAAAGCGATTCACCCTGTGGCCACACATCACTAGACTGCATTTACTCACAGTGTGAGGGCTGCTCCTGGTGGCAGGTGCATCAGCTTGGTTAGAACTTCAGGCAGTACCTGTAGGTTTTTGAGGCACTCTGCATTTCCTCTCCAGGCAGCAGCTAAAGTGCACTGGGTTTTGGAGCGAAGAGCCTGCAACTCTCTCTTCAAAATGGAAACAACTGCTGTACGTAACAAGTGAAATAGTTTCACCCACAGGTCTCTGCTACTTTGAAATGATGGAACTTCTCATAATAAAAAGAAGCAAACTAAGAAAGAATAGTTAAAAAGCCCTGGGTGGAAGAAACTCGATGCAGTAAATGCAAGTTACTTGGCACACTGGACTATCAACCAGTTTAATTTTATGGTAAATCCCACATGAGGCATTTGCAGCAAATGACACCCTATCTCCACAACAGATTTTGATACAGCCTTCAGAGAGTGGAAAGGGTTTGTATCTCAGTCCCTGAAGTTTCAGATATCCTGCAGATAACAGCAGGAGTGAACAATGAAGTAACTGTAGGTGTGTGAGTTCACATGCACATATCTACACACAGACACACCCATATATGCATCTCTTCAGATCATAACAAGAATTGATCCAGAAAACTTGGATGCAGTCAAAGATCACAGCCTCGGTGTTTGAGGATCAGGAGCCTTTCTTTCCTAGCAATCAGGTGCCAGCTACAAAATTGAAAGCTGGCTTTTAGATTTCCCTGAACTTTAAGGATCTTCTGGCTAACAGGATTAGCTCCAGTCCAGCCGCTGAAAAATATGAATCTAAGTGTCCCTCTGTCTCATTGCAATTTTCCCTAGGAAAATAAAGCAAAGTGAAACAGGAAGACCCCTACATCGGGAGAATTTTGTTTTCTATATACATTCAGATACGGCTATTTGACATTTCATTCCTGAAAGGAGCTACATTCCTCTTCTCATTTAAACTGAAACCTAAGCTTGATGGAAATTAATTAGTAGAATTTCAATTAGCAATATAAGGGCAGTAAAAATAATCCTGGCATAATTACACCAATTTATATCCAATTAAATTACCCCAAAAAGTTTGAATTACAGCTTGGAACAGAAATACAGCATCACGTTGGTCTCATCAGAAAATTGCACATCCCCAGTGACAGCTCGGGGCTGGAACAGCCGCAGGGTGCAGCGCCCAGCAGCAAGGTGCCCTGGCATGGCTGTGTGAAGGAGCCTGGCATGGTGTCCAGCCGTGGTGCATGGCCAAGCAGGGACCATGAGGAGTCCCCATCATGGGGATTTGCTGAGCCCACATTTTTCTCGTCGACTTCAGATAGAAGCTGGCTACATTAGGCTGTTAGTCCTTACTTTCCTAACTACTTAATTAACTTGGAGAGATTAAAAGAAAAAATAAATCGATCATTAAGAAGTACCTTGGCACTCAAGTTAATGAAATGTAAAACTGGTTTATTAGGAATTATAGTTCTGTTTGATTGATTGTATCACCTTCTGTCAATGGCTCTAGTTTGTCTCTGGAAATAGGGTACATTTTGGTTAGTCCAGGGCACACATATCTCTCCCACTTTCCTCCCACAAGATCAGAAAACTTTCAAGTGCTGTTCAAATGCACCTTAAAATAAATTTTAATGCATGAATATTTCTTTCTGATTTGCTGTGGTGAGATTGAGTAACAGAAAAACATCATAAGATCTGACATACATTTGAACATGTCCTTTAGGCAGTGAAATTCCCCTGCAGAGTACTGACTCCAGAAAAGGAATCCAAATGTATTTTCTCATTTATGCCATTAATCAAAAAGAATATGTTGCAAACCCCTTGCAGAAATTCTACTGTATCAGTATGCACTGAGTTTATTGGGTCACACTGCAGACCAGGAGCAGAAAAAGGGCAGAATATAAAGTACAGAGAATATAGCATTGTGGACAAGGGAAATATGTGGATTGATGCACTGATATAAAGAAGAGAAAGTGTTGAGACAGAAAAAGCTTTTC